ATGGAATTGTTCATGTCTCCTGATTACATTGACCGCATGCTGGATTCCTATGGCATGACCAAGAGCAAGCCGGCTCAGACGCCAGGAGGAGATTCATTGCGGAAGTTGCTTGACAACGAATTGTTGAATTCGCAAGAGCATAAATTGTATAGGAGATTGGTTGGACAATTGTTGTGGCTTGCAGCATTGCGTGTTGACATCATGTATGCTGTTAAGGAGTTGTCACGAGGATTGGTTGCTCCCACTGAGGTGCACAAGATTAAGTTGAAGACATTGTTGAGGTACCTGAGTGGAACCAAGGATTATGTCCATGTTATGAGACCTGATTTCCGGATTGGAAGACAGGTGAAATCATTGGACATAAAGGTCTATGTGGACAGCGATTGGGCAGGTTGCACCGATTCCAGGAGGTCCACATCAGGAGTAGCATTGAACATTCTCGGCATCAACATTTCAGCACACAGCAGAACACAGGCCACCATTGCCTTGTCAAGTGGGGAAGCCGAACTTTATGCTATTGGAAGTGGTGCGGCCGAGGCCCTATTCATTAAATCTTTGATTCTGGAAACCCTTGTGGCTCCCAAGGTGAACATCATTCTGTTTACCGATTCAACTGCAGGCAAGAGCATGGCTGTCAGATTTGGGGCATCCCGGAAAACCAAACATGTCCAATTGCGATTTCTGTTTGTCCAGGAGCTGGTTTCCTCTGGGACCCTGGTGATTAAGAAGATTCCGGGAACCCTCAACCCATCTGACATTTTAACCAAGTATGTTGCCAAGGCAATTTTGCAGAGGCATAACATCACATTAGGGATTTGCCCTTCAGGTAGTAGATAGTCAACATGATTCTGTTTCACTTAGTCAGTAGTCAAGACATTTTGCCACGAGTGAATTCGAAGCCATTTCATGCATGACTGCAACATTTGTTTTGCTCAACATTCTGACTGACATTTCGGTGTGCATTTACTTCGACCGATGCGATGGACAGCCCGCATTCCGGAATTTGACGCGACAGTATTTCCACCGGATTCTCGCAAGAGATTTGAAGATGGAGCGCACGAATTTTTCGGAATACAAGGCATTCATTACGGCCACGATGTTGTGGCAGATTCTATTCAGCGGCCAGCAACAGGAACAATTTGGGTTCCAGGATTTTATTTTCATGAACCGATTCGCGGACGATGCCTGGAGTGCGCAGATTCTGATCAGGATCATTCCAAACATTGCGGCTGGGAGTATGTCCTATACTCCATTTGAGAGGCATTTGTGGCTACAATTCCCACCAAGGGTGGAGAGATTGATTCCATTCAACCCCAATTGGAATTTGCAACATTTGAACTTTTGCATGTTGCCATTCATGCTGTATTTCACCATGCCTTCAGCAATGTGGAACCATTTGAAGAGGATTTTTGAGGGCCGTGCCAGTAACATTCCTGAGGCTATGAAGGGAACATTTGCAATTCTTGCTTCACATTGTTTCTGGAACAGTCAGTTTACTGGATTCCATTTGAGCCCGCGTTCGTCTTTGCTATTCTTTCTGTATTCATTCAGCTATGAGCGATCATTTGCACCAGAGGGTGATGCAAAGAACAGATTGATTCAGTATTTGGCGGACACACCAGTGGTGATTGGATTCAGGCCACATTCGCAGCGATTTCTTGATTTCATGAGGCATTCATTTACTCACGTATTTGTGAGGTCTCACATTGACCCCATCATTCACTTCAAGGATTACATTTGGGATTCAAGAGACAGCTTGGCGATGCAGGAGATTTGCTCCATGGCCGGATTCAATATCAAGGCCCAGATTGGGGAATTGATGCTCGCTGCCAATTCATTGCAGCAAAGCAATTCCCATTGGTACCGGGATTACCACATGTTCATTCCCAAGACCTGGAAGACTTCATTGGACAAATTCATGGGCGACTACCAGGAGATTCCCAAGTCACTGGTAGATTCATATTACAGAGCGAAGCTGTGATTCAGCATTGGTGGAGCTGGGATTTCGATTCTGGCCAGGCACCGATTTGGATGCATTTATTCCACACTGGATTTGCATTGAGATTCTATGTTCATTGGATATCGCGATTTTGCCTGGTTCGATTTGCCACTTCATTTGTGATTCAGTTTTCGGCATTTGTGTGGAGGTACAGTTACAACATTACTGTAGATGACAGTTTACTTTTGGTTTGGATTCATCTATGACACCAATACATTGAGAGGACGTTTTCTGGTGATTCTGGAGGCGATACTCTTGGAACACATTCTGTCTGTGATTCGAGTCCACAATACATTCAACCACTTGTCCTTGTGCATTTCCCAGCATTGCAATTCTTTTGGTGATGATTAGGTCACCCGTTTTGCATAGACATTTTGCAGAGAGAAAAGATTTCAAGGCAGCTTGGCATTCTTTGGAATGCATTTGTGCTAGTGGAGTGTGGATTAATTCCACATTTTCCATTAATCCAAGGGGGCGTGCGAAAGTACACCATGCATTCCCACTTGGATGTAATTCATACTGATTACCATTGCATGGCTCAAGATGACAAAGGTGCATTTGCTGCCTTGGTTGATTAGCAGAGATTAGTCTCTGATTTTCCCAGCTTGCTTGGTTGCTTGGTTGTTTGGTTGCTTGGTTACTTGCTCGGTTGCTTGGTTGCTTGGTTGCTTGGTTGGTCGCTTGGTTGCTTGGTTGGTTGCTTGGCTGGTTGCTTGGTTGGTTGGTTGGTTGGTTGGTTGGTTGGTTGGTTGGTTGGTTGGTTGGTTGGTTGGTTGGTTGGTTTGGCTGGCTGGCTGGCTGGCTGGCTGCTTGGTTGGCGGGTTTGCTCCCAAAATTATTGGCTTTTCAAAGTCAAGCACCTCTTTGGGGCCACTGGAGGCTTGGGAAAAAAACACACACACACACACACACAACAAGTGCCTTCAAGCGTTGAGGCTGCAGGTGGTCCAGCGGGTCAAAGCGAAGTGAAAGGGCAGCAACGCCCTCCTCCATTTTTGTCAGTATGATTCTTCTTGTTAGTATTGCACTATGTTTAACCACTGAATGATGCATGGTTGTGCATGTTCTGCCAGAAACACTGGGTGGTTAAACGACTTTATTACATGCACCCCCGTGCGGGTGGACTAAACATGACACATCGGAACATCTGTTCTGCGTGCCCTGGATGGCCAATAAAGTGCGACTAGAGGGTCAAGGCTGCAGCTCAGGATGGTTCAGGGTAACTGAGCCACCCCTCACGGAAGGGTAGCAGCTTGGGTCAGACGAGGGAAGCTACTATCACACCATATGAGAGCGTTGGCAAGGAGGTGCGGCTCAAAGCTGGTGCCCCAAATGTCATACTCAATGTTGGCTCCCAAGTGAGCATTTTGAGGAGTTCTCAAAATGACTTTTCGAGGTTTTCCTTTCAGCCAGGATTAATCTCTTCCCCCAATTAATGAATGACCCCAATTAATAATAAATGCAAATCCGGGGCCCGGGACCAGATTTCCACTCCACACAATTGATTTTCCATTGCGCCAATACTAAACCAATACTAACGTCTTGGAATCCTTATTAGGGGGCACTTTTGGCAAGCTTCCAGCCTCACTACTGGCTGCCTTCCTATCACTGAATGCATGTCTGGCTGTCTTGAAACCCACACTGCCTTCTCGAGCACTGGACTGTCTCGCAGTCAATCACAAGCTGGCTACCTAACCTGCCTGGCTGCACCCCAAATGTTTTTTTTTTTTTTTTTTTTTTTTTTATTGGGTCCTTTAATTATTGGGGTGTCCCTCAAAAGAAAACATGTCCCCAAAAGCTGTCTTCTAGCTGCGACTGTCTCTCTCCCGTACATGCTGGCTAATCAACCTGCCTGGCTGCAAACAAACAACCAGTAAACTGGTAAACACATAATTAGAATGATACATCAAATTTCCTTATTGAACCGCTTACTCGCGGACCTTACAATTCAATCCATTTCATCCAAATCCTACGTGAACCCTCACATTGTTGGAAAAGCAAAAACAAACCAACCCCAAAAACCCCAATTAAAAAAACTATATATTTTTGGGGGGATTTATTTATAATAGGGGGGGGGCGTATTTATTAATAGGGGGAAGAGATTAGGGTATTTTTGAGGATGTCACTCAATTCAGAACCCAGCAAATCGCTCTTTTAATGCTTCGTCCTGGGATAGTCAAGATTTGGGTGGCTCGTCTTTTTGATAGGATTTGGACCCGCAACAGTTGTCCATTTCGGAGACCAACTCCTATAAAAGGGACGAGCCACCCAATTGGTGAATGGGAACTCCCCTAGATCGATGGAATTTGGGGCGGGAAATCTATGTTCCTTTCAGCAACTCGCGTGCGGCACTGGTCTGCATACGCCCCAGGACCTTTAGTAATTTAGGGTTGTGCAAATCCCTTTGGCTCAAATAGTTGAGCGTGAGCACTTCTCATTTGTGTTTGCTTGTCCCCAGTCTTTCTTGATTTGCACACGACTTGTCCATGGGGTTTTGCAATGATCTTGCGACAGTGGGCGTGTTGTGTGGAGTGAACAGCCATCGGGTTTGTGGCCTCTCGATGCGATTAAGCACAGCCTGTGGTTCTCCCAGAGAATGTCGATGATAAGTGAAGACAAAAGAGCAGCGCCCAACGACTTTGGAAACTGAAGGGGTCCCACTCCCGGTTGAACAGGTACTCTTGAGTCCTGAAGCAACGCTGACAACTAGCTCGTATTGCTTGTCGCAGGCCTTCTCTTGCCAGATAAACGGGGACCGGGGCGAGTTAAGCAAGCCTGGGCAGAAATTTGGGTCAAACATGGCCAACCAGCTGGAGTTGAGGTAGTTTGAGGGTGCAGGTAGACTTATCACATCAAAGCAAGTGATATGGGCAGAAGCAGAACCGTTGGCATCCAGGTGCTGGGCATTTCCCATTTTTTGGTTTGCCTTCTTTTACCCAAGGGAGAAGGGCCACCTCAGTCTAAATCAAGGACACAGACCGCAACGTCTTCGAAGCCGCAGGACTCTGCGAATTTGAAAGCGGAGCGACTGGCCTGCCTGGACTACTACGCCCATGCGCCCTTGCGGGGCAAGCAAAAATCTCGGGGCGCAGCGACCTCCGAGACACGTTCTCAGTGGTGCCCCTTTTTCTCTGGGGGTTTGTCAGGAGCATAGGTGTCTTTTGTTGGTTGTTTTGGTCGAAAAAATGGATGGCGATTCCTGGTTTTCCTGGTGGTTTAATCATCCACCAGGGCCGTCTATTTCCTCTGAAAGGACACCTATGGTCAGCAGGTGTCCCTTCAAAAAGCAAAGCACAGCTAACTCGTGTTCCCTGCTTCTTTCCTGTTCAAGAGGTGTCCCTTCAAAGATGCAAGCAACGGCAGGAGTGCCAGGGCCACTGGGGGTCTAGGACCTTGACACGGCACCGACTCTGCAGATGGGCCTGTCGTATTTTGGGCCAGTGCTAGACTTTGGGAAGTGGTTTCTCTTTAAGGGGAACCAGGATGTGGTTTAAACATACTGTTGATTGTGAGATCCGTTCGCACAACGAAATAACACCATGCATAGTTGGAACCAATCGTTTGTTGATATTTTCAAGGAATGGAATCAGATACCAGGAATATTGAACGGTGGTGCGAAATCAATTTCGCGACCATCCACAGTAAGGGCATGTTTTTCGTTGGGGTGCCCAGTTTGGAAGGGGTTTGAAGGAAAAATACACGGAAAAAAAACAACCCATTTTGGGGGTTCACCCATGGCTTGCCTTTTTCGATTCAGCATTCTCCAAGGATCGATCAAGACCTGAAGCTGGAAACCTTCGATTTTGTTTATTTCTTGTGAGGTGTTTCGATGAACCAGTGTGTTTTCTATATGGGGTCGAAGCCAGGAGAAAAAACAAAAGGAGCCAAGCGGCCGGTTGGAGGTGATCCACATCCCGTCAGTCGCCTCAAAATCAAGCGGTTGGTACTCTGGCACAGGTATTGCACGAGTACACCGACGATGAGCTCAGAGAGACGTTGAAGGCGCAGAAAAAGCTGAGAGGAAGAGCTGATTCTTGGGACGATTAAATAAACCTTACTTCGGGTTAAACACAAGCCAACCCATATCGGCCATTCGCGGGTCATGTCCAGATTTTGGCACCTTGAACCACGCCTACAGTCAAACCGGTGAAACTTAGAGCTCATTTGCCCAGACGTTTGCCTAGCATTCTACTTGGATCTTCAGCCAAGCTAGTATGTGGTTAGCCAATTGGGGCTTTTCACCCCCTAATTAACAAGGTTAACCCCATACTCCCGGACTTAGAATTGGGTAAGCGAACGGTCGCCGTTACAAATGAGTAGCTTTGCGAATCCAACACCAAAGCGACGAGGTAAACGTATGGTTTTGTTGTTTTTGAGGATACCCCCTGTTGGTTGGTTTGGAGGGGAAGCCAAAGGAAGACCAACCATTTTGAGGTCCTCCTAAAAACAGAGAGCAGAATCTTCGCGTGGAGAATGAAAAGACCGCCTAGTGTTCAGACCACTTGGCTGTGGTCTGGATCCCAGATCCGTATTTGAATCGAGAGAGACTTTCTGGGCAATGGGTCGAGTTGAATAAAACTTTCAGCCTATATTCCCTTCTGTTTCATCCCGAGCCAAGGAGACCATGAATCCGACTTGGAGCACAGGGATACTCACCCAGGGATCGTTGGCATATCAATTTGGCGCGATTCAAGCGGATGTATCCATTGTTTACCAAGCAAAACACATGACCCCAACAATTTGGGCGACATGCCATTTGTGCGGGTTTGAGGGTCTAGCCAGCTGTGCTTGCCGGATGAAGAGTCTTCAGAGTGCCTGAGTTGCCAGTGCCGTGCATCAGGGCTGACAAGATGAGGCCATTCCCTAGGTCCAAGCACACGCAGTTGAGTTGGGTATGTCTCGAAACAGGATTTGTGACCTCGCAACATGGGTGGTTTCCTGGTTCCCTTTAGACCAACCGCTTTCTCCGCCCCAACGAAAACAAACAAAGCAAAAGCTCCAAGAAAGACGCTGCCATGTTGTAAAAACACCGACGCTTGGAATATTTTGATGGGTGTGCTTCAATCCTGGGGGGTTTGCGAGCGCTTGGATTGGTGGTTTGGAGATGCGAAGCCCTTGCAAGAAGGCAGAGGTGCAGAGGGGAAATGGGAAGCCCCCCTAACCAGTAAGCAACCATTAAGAGGAAAGCTGACCTTCCCCTTTTCTGACACCGCCTTAAATAATAACAATAATAAAATAACAATTAGGTAATAACAAAAACAAATCTATACACTTCGCTTTTCTGTCCCCCACTAGTGCCCTTTTACCCTTTTTTGAGGGGAGGGTTCCCCTACTAAAATGGACTACAGAAAAAATCGGGTACCAAGTTATTCTAATCCCTACTACTGGAGGACCTAGTCTTTTTTGAAACCGCCAGTTCCAAAATGGCCAAAGCTGTTCGGCTTCGCCGCTCGGCCCGTGACATCCTTCAGCGCCTGCGCCTTGGCCAACTCCTCCTCCGCAGGTGGCCACCACCGGCAAACTCGGCAGCAGCGACGCCATCTTGGCGAAGGGTCTCAAGTACAAAGAGGCGAGCTCGAGTTCTTCGGCCGGCCGGGGGAGGTCGGCACGGCTTAAACGTGTGGCTGTTGGGTTTGGTTTTGGGTTTGGTGGGAAGGGGGAGATTGGGAGATTTGTTGCTCGAACTTGTTTGGTCCAAAAAAACTCAAGAGATGGGTGCCTGCTAGATAGAGTTGAACAGCTGGTTCCACGTGGTGTCCCTCTTACGACCCGTAAATAAACCGGACCTCTATTTTTGGGAACCTCCAGATCCATGATATATCGTGGGAAACCACTGCCGCTTCTTTAGCGCGCAGCGTCGCCTCTGATTGGAAGACCAACAATGATGGTTCATCAAAATGGCTGTGGCTGAGAAATGTGTTCCAAAATGGCTCCTTGGTAAATGGAGCCAAAGACTAAAACCTGCGGTTTGCCCCAGCTCTTAAATTTTGAGCCACACCCCAAATGTCTATCATTCACTGGGTACTCAGTGGAACAAGCTACCACTGTAGCAAGTAAACCGGGAGAAGCCATTCTCAACCTAGAGGTAAGAAGCCCTGGTTACCTACTATATTATATAGTGGCTTGCCTGGAAGCTTTGGACTCTTTGCTTAAAGAGTCCCAACTTCTGCAATTCTGGCAGGCGGGCCGAAAGGGGGCCCAGGAATTTGGAAACTTACGATATGATGCGAAAGGAAAAGGTATGAATCATGTGTGTATTTGTTAGTCTTAGTGGACACCCCAGAAGTGGTGGGTTTCCTTTTGGTTTCCCTTTAAAACCGTACCCTCAAAAAAGACAGACTGATCTGACTATTTAGCTTCATAGTTGTCCCAAACTGAACGTCTCAGATATTGTCTATCAAAGGCCATTTGATAGCTGCAGGCGGCCTTGCAGTTTGTGGGTCCAAGCGGCCATCGATTGGAAAGGCTTTGCCATTCCCCATCCAAAAACAATGGGGGGGGGGTCCTCTAAAAAGTCTCCCAAAAAAGTGGTACCCCTTTGTTCTCGTTGCTTTATTTGGGGTGTCCCTCTAAAATCATCCAAAAAAGTCAGTGCCTGGAGTCTCCATGACCCTTAAAAAATGGGGTGACCCAAAATCAGGGGTCATGAACCCATTTTCTTATCAGTCAGAAGGCGACTCCAGGTTCTGTAGGTGACCAAGAAACCCTGAAGTCCTTTTCTAGGGACCCCTCAACGCGGTTTGTTTGAGCCTAGTTTGGGGCTGGTGCTCTCCTTTTCCCTACGGCTGTGGCTCAAAATTAGACTGGAGGGGCAAACCTTACGCGGGTTTTGGGAAAACCATGGTTTCTTTCCACTTACCAAGGCAACCCATTTTGGAGCTCCAATTTGGTTTTTGAGTTCGCCACAGCCATCCATGGAGCTCCACTCCCCGGTCCGACCCATCCGACGGGTCGCGGGTCGGCGGGGGGACCGGCGAGTCCGCGAGGCCCAGTACCACGGGGAGGTGGCCTTCGCACGGCACGTGGAGCGCCTGGTGCTGCCCAAGGCGATTTGGCCTCCGTCGGTGTTCGGTGGTTTTTGTTCTTCTTTTTTTGTTTGTCCCCTTCTTCTTTTTTGAATTCATGTGTGTTTTTTTGTGTTCGGAAGTTTTTCGTTTTTTATTTTTATTTTGGTGTTCCTCTCCGGAAGTTGGTTTTGTTTAGTTATGTCTTTATGTTTCTTCGAAACATCATGTGGTTTTCCTTGTTTAAAACAATGTTCGGAAGTGTTTTTTGTTTTTCTCCGGAAGTTTTTTTTGTTTTCTCTGGAAGAAAGGGAAATCATGGATATGGATATGGGTCAACATGTTTCCCCACCCGGATATGGACCGCGGGTTTTTTAGTCTTTGTTTCCATTTGCCGGGATCGATTTGGGGTACCTATTATTGACCCACACCCATGATATTGGGGGGTCACAGGGCCCGCAGTGAAGGCAACGCTTCATCTGAAAGCTCTACTGGCACGTTGCGCGATACCTCAAGGGAGGATACACCGAAACGGGTACCCGTTGGAATGATGGGGGTACCTGAACCCTCGAACTATCCATCAAAATGGGTGATTGGTTCAGAGTTGTTTTCCTGAACCCTCAAGCTACCCACGATAAATTGGTATTGCCCCAAAAATATGGTTGGTGTTGGTGATCGGGTACGTTGGGGGTCCAGGTTCACCCCCGTCACGACCTGAAGTTTGGAAGTTGTCACGGAAACCGAACTTGGTTACCCAGTTGCAAGTCCCCCGTGAATGTGGAAGGAACCTTCACTGGAGCCTTGTTATCAGGAAACGTTGTGCCGCAGTTGGCTAACCACTCACTACCTTGGCCGAACATCCCAGCAAGGCCGTTTGGGTGCCTGGATTTTTTGTGAAACTGCCCGTTTTTTGCCAACTTGTTTGCCATTGGCGGATTGTTGAAAAGGGGAGCCACGACGAAGCCACCCGCTTTTGGGGTCCCTTACTCCCCTTACTCCCCAGATGAACCTGAAATCCGCTGGCCCTTTCCTTTGGGTAATGGCACCATGTTTGATTCGGGTCAGCGGACTCCAGGTAGTGGTTTCCCATTCAATCGCAATGCGAGGGTCCAGGTCTGAGGTTTCTTGGGAGTGGGCACCCCGTTGGCTTTCAAGCACCATAAGTTGTGGCCTAGTGGCCTCATGACTATGTCTGTTAGGACTACACGGCTAGACCAGAGCGATAGAATAAGAAGCGACACTTAAGGAGCGAACGACGATTAATCATAGAATAGTACTCGCCTGAGCTTCCTTGTTTCAACTCTTTTTGGAGAAGGTTTTGGGCCCCTGTAAGATCCATCAACATAAGTTGCGCGCCCTTTTTTCCCCCACGGAAATCCACTGCGACCCGGTCTGGGGTCACTTCCGCCCCAGTCACCGCCGGTTTTTCTCGGCGAGGTGGACAAGTACACGGGCCGCGAGGCGGACATCAAAAAGGTCTGCGAGAAGAACGGCTGGGAGCTGCTCGGAGAGAACGGTGAAGCCTTCGGTTGGACAGAGAAAATGCATGGGTTCTGCATAACACATGGCGAGCTCGCCTGGCCAAAGATCCTTTAATCAAGGATCCACTCCTGAGTTTCTGGTTGCTGATCGCGCCAAATGGGTGGCAGGCCCGGCGGGTCGGTGGGCCATTGAAAATTGGAGCAATGAGCCCAGCAGTGCTACTGTGGATGGACGAAATCCATTTTGCGCCAGTTTGAAACCATGGGAAACCATTTGTTGGTATTTACAGGGAAATCGAATCTTTCCAGGGTTTCGTAGTGCAGGATTTCGTCTATCCACAGTATGGAGTCACAAGGAACTGTGGCCTCTTTGAAATGGCACGAGTAACTCCAGAAGGAACCATCCCGGAGGCTCGGAGGTCGCACACCCATGTGAGCTCGCAACTCAATTTGCCACCTGCGGATGATTGCAGTTGTTCTCCAGCTTGGGGTTTGATCTTATGCGGTTCCCCACTGAGCGTTGTTTCACTTTTACTCTTGTTTTTGTTTGAAATGCACAGCACACTACAGTGGTGCGGACCGGCCTTCCAGGTTTCCCACAGTGAGCCCAAAACTGGGATCTTTAGTTGCATTTTCTTTTTTTCGCTGGGGGGGGGTGAGGTGGCGCGATCAAAGTTGAGAAAGTTGTTGGTGATTTCCCTTGAACCCTTTAACTTGTCTCTTTGGGGGGAGTGACTTTGCTGTTAGCATAATGGCGCCAGGGCCCACCCCGATCCTATTCTCCAAAATTAATTGACATGACTTCGGGACGTCGAGGGGGCCAGCCACACCCGGCACCGAAGGTGGTGCTGGATGGAGGAGGAGAAAGCCCGGCGAGAGGCTATGGAGGCGCAACCTTCCAAAATGGGTGTTTTTCTCTTTGGACTCCCAATAATTCAACCACCCTTTAAAACAGCATCCGTGGACCAACATACGATTTTATCGTATGTTGGTCCACGTTTTTTAGTCATGGCCCCAAAAACCAAAAGGTTATCACCTTTTAAATCCACGTCCGAACTGGGCAAGTAAGCTTTTGTTTGCCTGATTCCTCAAACCCACACAAATGGGACATCCCCCCATCCGTTTGGCTTGCAATACCCATTTGAATGGGTATTTTGTATGGGCAGTTTAAGGGTCCAGCTGTCCTTTTGATTTTCATCTTAGGTTGGCAACCACACCCTTTGGGTACCTACAACACCAGGTAAATGGGTGTGGGTCAAAACCATGAGACCATTTTGGGGTAGGTGCACCACCCATTTTAGTGTATTTTAGTGGGGGTGCATAGCCAGTTTCAGGGTGCGCTTCTTCCAACGAAAAAATCCGCCCCTTTGCAGAGGCGGAGGACGCCTCGGATGAGAAGATGATCGCGTGGAAGGCCAAACTGAAGGCGCACAGCGAGAGCGAAAGAATCTCGAGCTCCCGCCGGAAAACCCCGTCGTTCGGCCCTGAACTTTTACCCTCCATTTAGCCCATTAAACAATGGGACATGGCCCCATGTTTTGGGGCAAAGACCCATTTTTGCAGGTAGTTCGAGGGTCCCAGCACTAGCACAGAGGTTGCAATCCGGAGCCAAAGCAGATGAATCAGAGCCGGAAGCCGACGAGCCTGGATTTCCCTTTTTCTGGCTGGAAATCGCAAGGCTGGGGAAGTTCCAAACCAAAAAGCCGGAAAACCGTTGGGCATGTGTCAAAAAAGGAGGACCACCCAAAGCCGCGGCTTCCCTATTGATTTCCCTGTCTGATAACTTAAGCATGGTACACAAAAATAACAAAAAGACAGTTGCAGGTTTCACATGTCGAACCATGACGCTGTTTTTTTCAGTGGAACCCAGGCAAGGGTAACCCTTCGCCATTTTCCGTTTGGTTTGCCTTGGCTATTTACAAATGGATCCACTGGGTATAATATTGAGAGCCCACCCCCCCTCTCAGGTTCTCGGGTGCGGAATCTCCTTGGTTGGCTGGTCTATGCTTCATTTCAAGGGGGATCTGATTGGAAGCAAAGTTGATATCCTTCCCACCAAGGAACATGTTTGCGGCTCTCTCTTTCGGTGTCCAAAGGGGAACTAAACAGATTCGGACCTTTTTGCAGATCCCTACCACAAGGCCTAAATAGTCTTAGAATAGGGGTGTGGTCAGTTCGAAGCCCACTTTAGTCATGATAGCAAGAGTGAGCTTAGAAGCTAGCATTTTTCCTGCCCCCTTGCATTAATTGTTGCGCATGAGAGAGAGCCCTTGAAGTCTCTATCGCAGATTCAGATGGTTTTTAGAGAAAAAACATCAAAAACCCAAAGTTGAACACCGACCTTTTGATCGTTTTCGGGGTCCCCTAAGAAGGGCTTGCATTGGGTTTTTTCTTGGCCTCCAGACGAGCACGGGGCCCAGCGGCCCAGGCCATGGCAGAGCGCCCCAGCGAGGATGTTAAGGTGCCGGAAGGCGGGGGGGGGGGGGGGGCATGGCTTGATGGGATTCAAGGCTGCAAAGCAATCAGAAGTAAACAATGAGATCATTCATGAGCAGTTTGGTATGTGGGTGTGTCTTTTTTGGAGACTTTTGAACATGGTGGTTGTTGGGAAGCATGTGTTTTTTCCTCATTTTTGGTTGTTGTGGGTTGAGTGGTGGAAATCCAACTCCACTGAACTGCTGGAAATTGTTTTTTGTTTTCTCCCTTCCAACGTCAACCAAGTGTGGAGGGCCCATTTTGCTGAGGAGAACAGGGCTGTGGTGGATCACTCGGAAATCCAACCACTTCTGTGATACTTGAGCGGGAATCCCCCGCTTTAATTGGGGAATGCGTCTTTGGGGTTCGGGCCTTTTTGTTGTACAGAAGTGGAGGTTTTGATTTCCCACAGCCCTGTTTGGGAAGGAAGACCACGGGGCCTGGGGACTCGCTTCTTGAGTTCCTGGGCTACAGGGGCTACCTTCCTTTTCCATTGTTGGGGGGCCTTCTTTCTGGAAAACCTCCAGAAACTTTGGGAAAATGGCTGGTCTTTGCAACAACCGATGGTTGAAAAGAATGGGGCCTGGGGGGAGGGGGGGTAGTGCGGAGGGAGTCCAACTAAGGCCTTCTCAAGGGCTGAACAAGAGCTAGAGTTGGGCTCCCTTCCCCCCTCCCCTCCTCGGACCTCGTTTGATACTCAGCCCAAAGTGCGCGTCCTACTTGCATGGCCGAACCTGGGCATCTCGGCTGGGTGGCCAGTTGCCAAGAGAGGGATTGTACAAAACTTCCCCTTCCTTTCCCATTCTTAGCGTTCACCTTTCAGTTTCCCCTTTTGGCAACCATTTTTAGGGGCCGCCAAAGTTAAGCACTTTTAATAGTGCCGCCCCAAAAGGTGAACCTTGTTTGCCTTTATTTCGTCGTTTGGGCAGCTGGGATATCAATTTATATGCCCGGACCCTCAAACTACCCATGAAGGTGGGATGTTTCCCCGAAGTTGTGGGATGGTGTCCCCTTTTTGTATGGGCAGTTTGAGGTCCATACCCATTTTGGAGTTGTTCTCACATCTTGATAGGCAACCTCCAAGTGTCCGTCTTGTTTGTGGTTCCTTGGTTACGTTCAGGGACATGGAACCACTGGGCCAGGTGTCTCTCAGAGTACTTTTGACATCCGTTTTACATGTTCAAGTTCAGTAAAATTGTGACAAGTGAATCTGAGCATGTCACGTTTCGTCAAAGCCTGAGGCAGGCAAAGCAGAAGGTCCAGTGACTTCGGGCTCCAATTTCCAGAGATCGACCCATTCCAGAAAGCGGCTCCGGGTGCCAGTTGGCTTGGTTCACAGGCGAACTTGCAAACTCCGGTGTTCTGGGTTTCGAGCTCACTGATTCGGTGGCAAAAGGCGGAAAGCACCCATCATGTACGTCCCGTAGGTCCTTCGGATCCCTTGTTTCAGGCGATCCCTTGTTTTATTAGATTTCGAGGATATTCTAGAATTTGGATGCATCCCAAGATGTCGAACAGCGACATGATCCAATTTTTGTTATGATAGCAACCGGCCCGAAGAGAAGCGGGACCCTTGCAAGTAGAGAACAAACCAAACTGGGGGTGATCGAAGCATCTGCTTTGCAATCAGACGTGGCTGACCCCTTGTCAAGACGAAGAAGCAAAATATCCCCCTGCATGGGGGTGATCTAAACATCAGCTTTGTATCGTTTGTATAAGGAGCCCATCAGAACCTTGTCACTGACCCGAAGGCCACGGTCCGTTTTTTCGGCCTTCCGAACGTGCAGGCTTCTGCGTCAAAGGATGCGGCAAGCCTGTGGCCGACGGGCTCACTAAGAATGGGAACCCCTACAAGACCTGCTGCAGAGGCGCCGTTGGATGGGGGCTGCGCTGCGGTTTGTTGGGACCAGCTGCAGAATCTGAAGTTCTGGGTCCTCTACTCGCCCCAATCACAGAGTCGGTTTTTCACACACACCCCAGTGCCATGCATGTGATATCATGTGATTATGTCAATCTAAGTTTGCTTTCCACATGTCACGTAGTGCTTTCTTGTAGGCGACTCTTTTTTGCAAGCTGTGCAAGCACGCGCTGGTAGAGCAGCCGTGCGGTTGTGACAGAATTATGTATGTGTGCATGTGTGTGCGATGTTGCCCATAGATTGTTAGCTGACGACTTCAGGGAACCGTGGTTTGGATTTGTGGTTTGGGGATTTGAACCCCTGGTTCTTGTAGGTGATAACTGGGAAACCACCCCTTGAAGACCAATTAGAGGGAAACTGAGCCCTTGTCTTGCCGAGTTCGTGTGGGTGGTCTGCTGATTGAGTTTACATTGCGAGACGAAGATGCACCTCCCAAAAACCAAGGGTTCCTGGAAGTCCACTTTCCTTTTGAGGGCACTGTACAGGTTCCATGTGTTTTTGGAGGCGGGTTTGGATCCTATGATTTATGGGTATCAACTCAGGCTTCCACTTGCCTCAGGTCCTTTGCGGAGGGCGTTTGGATGCGCTTGAAGGAGCCTCAAACCGGAAATACCCAACCCACGTATGTCCGAATGCATATGTGCTTCACTGGCATGGAAGCCCTCGATGCGGGCTCTTGAAACTTGCTGCTTGGCCTCATCCGGGAGCTGCATGAATCCTGTCAGCCATAGATTGCCGCTGAACTGGTTCAGGTGCAACACGCGGGGCATTCACAGTCACCTCTCGAAGCTCGTTTCCCTTTCAGCCCCATTGAAGGTACCATAGGTACCCTCAAACCACCCAAACCACCAAAAGAGCCACAAAACACTACACCTCCAACCCCACCTGCCCAAAAAACCACTCCCAAATTCAACAACTCGGGTTGCTTTCGCTTCGCAGCCGAACGCCGGCCGCTCCGCTTCGAAAATTTATGCGTCGAGTCCAGGTTGCGCCCTGGGCTTTGGCCACGACCTGCGCTGCGGCCTCAAGGCACGGCTCGTGTCCCCGCTACCCATGTCCCCCCCTCGACATCCGCGGCTTCTCGAGCTCCGGTTCAGGTGGAACAGTCAAGAGGGCGGTGCAACAAGCAGTCAGTAGGTGGCTGCTGCTTATGCAAGCTGTCAGCTGAGACTCTAGATGGAGTAAGCAGATACACCGATGAATGCAGATTCATGGTTTTGTCTTGCCAATCAGCTCTTGTCTCCTGGGCGGGTTCTCGGAACATCCGCAAGTTGTTTTATTCTTCTTATTTGTTCTTCTTCCTTTTTGTTTCTCTTTCTTTTGTTTTGTTCCCCCTCAAAGGGGCTGTTATCTTGTGACTATGCAAGTTTACGTGGTATATGTGGCGATAGCATGTAACACGGATTCGAATAGCGAACACCATCGAACTTCCCAGCACGGGTTTATGCACCGACAAGCTAGACGGCCTGACAGTGGTGTTCAAGCATGTCGTGTCAACATGATTTTATGTAGCACGTACATACTTGCATATTTACATGTGCACATATATGCATGCACACACATAACCAAACAAAAGTCAATCAAAACAAGGAAGCATACACACATACATACCTACCTACATACATACATACATACATACATACATACATACATACATACATACATACATACATACATACATACATACATACATACATACAGACATACATACATACATACATACATACATACATACATACATACATACATACACACACACATGCATGCATGCATGCATACATACATACATACATACCTACATACATGCATACGCAGATAGATAAATATATATAGATAGATAGATAGATAGATAGATAGATAGATAGATAGATAGATAGATAAATAGATAGATAGATAGTTAGATAGATAGACAGACAGATAGATAGATAGATAGATAGATAGATAGATAGATAGATAGATAGATAGATATATACGTACATACATGCATACATACATACACACTCTTTCATACAGTTTCATACACTTTCATGCACCTTCATCGGTACCCATACATGCATGCATGCATACATGTCCTGCCCACAACCAGCAGTTTCCCAAGTCAAGCTTTAGACCGAATCGCTCGCCATGCGCAGGACGGCGAGCGGCCTCCCTGCAAGATGGGCTGTGGTATGCTGGCGGCTCCAGGCAGGGTGTGCGTGTGTGTGTGTGTATCCTTAGTCGCTGGATGATCAGTTTGATAAGAACAACAGAGTGACCCAAACAGGCGCTAAAGTCACTACCGGGCTGCAATGGATGCGCTTGCTATGGCTCTAGTACATGAACCAGTCATGGATGATATAAGATGTGTACATGCATTTATGCAGGCATACACACATATAGATGTGTATTTATACATATGTATATCTATATATATATATACATGTGTTTACATGTGCTCACAGGAGAAAGGACAAGTCGGTATGCTGTCAATGGCATTTTCAGGTATGGTGTGTTGAAGGCATGGATGCTTGAATACCACCAGTGCAAGCTTGTAAGGCTGTATATTCCCTTTATAGAAGCGGCGTATACCCTTCATACCCCCAAGGCTACCTCATTCTGCCAACTTGACCCCATGATTCAGAGCCCAGTCGAAGGGGTTTCTCATTGCAGCCTTTCAAGCGTCACGAGTGGCATTTGTTTGTGGTTTAAGCCAGCATTCTGGCTCTCAATCAATGGACATCTCAGCCTGGGGGTCACTGGCTCTCATCCCATATGGACCAACAGGACTCAGCAACCAAACGCGAATCTGAGCTTTTGACCTGAGCGTTTGGTGTTCCCACCGTCATTGGCCCCAAAAGGGCCGTTTATTTCCAGGTCCGAACTGGGCAAGTAAGGGGAATGCCTCGAGCAAATTACTCGTAGCCAAACCCCCCACCGAAGGCAAGGGGGGCCGGGACAATTTCCTGCACAGTAGACAAGTCCTGTAGAATCTTTCCAAGGCTGGCTCATGTTTTACCTTGCCACACCTTTTCGTTTTGGAAAACAATTGGATCCAGACGCGTAGCACGCCTGACAACAAACCGTATCAAACAAAGCAGAAACAAAGAGGCCACCAGCCCGACACCCTGCGTTTTGCCCGAGTTTGCCAAGCATGCGACCTCCTCTGCTTCGGGGCTGCATTTGCTTCTTGTGCTCATTCCTGCATATAGGTTTGCCTTCTGTTTGAGCCGCAACATACGTGGTGTCCATTTAGTTTCCCTTCAACAAACTACCCAAACTGAAACTGGGTACCCTCCCAAATGGACATACCTTTCTTCTCTGCCACTAGGAATGTGCCAAAGGAGACCCCATTGGATTTGGTCTTCTGGTTTCCCTTTCAACCAGATGACAAAAATCACTCCTTAAAAAGCCAGCCCCACCTACAACGACCTTAAACATAAAAGCCCCAACAAAAAATGCCCCAACAAAAAATGCCCCAACAAAAAATGCCCCATATATAAGTGTTTTTTCTCTGCCCCTCCCAAAAGTTGCGCAGGCAAAACCTCCCGGGGCCGTCCGCTGGACACCTGCTGCCGCGGCTGTGCCAAGGGCGGGGAACACGACGTGCGCTGCACCAAGGACCCCTCCGAGTGAGCCCAGCGCGGCCCAGGCGACCACGCAGAAGGGGAGGGCGGAAAGTACAGACATACATATCTACATATGTGAGTATATATATATATATAATTTAGATGTATTATATATGTGAGTATATATTTCTATATAATGTATATGTAGTATATATATATATATAGATAGATAGAGATACATATTCTAAGGTGCCGAACGGGAACACGCATGGAAGCATGGAGGTGATTTTTCATGGGGGATCCTTTGGCAGACATCATTTAGGGGGGGATTCATGACCAGCAACCACTTTGAGGTGTTCTATTCCATCTCATGGCCACATGATTATAGCTTATAACAGGATCATGCCGTGGGGTTGAAAGTACCCAATAACCCCATTGTTGATTTGGTTTCATAGCTTGCCGTAATCACACACAAAAATGGTTTAATGGTATCCAACTGCCCCACTATGTTTACTGAAGCCCTGAAAGTAAGCGGTTCTCAACACCTATGCTTCCACTGTGAGAGCTCAAGATCCCGCTTTTGTGGTCGTAAAGCATAGTTTGGCCATCACCTATGTGCGCGCAGGCTCGTCTCAAGGTTGAGTGCTGTTTCAGTAGCTTGTTTCATTCCCCAGCCAAAGGCATCAAATAGAATTGAACATGCTGAACCCACATGGTTTTGCCGCAGGACTTCTCCCGGGGTGAACAAGACATCACTTTGGCGTGTCCCTTAGAAAAAGGATCCGTGCCAAATAGCGGGCGTCATCGAGAAACGAAACACAATCTATTTGGTTGGCTGTAAGGGTACACGGGAATTGCAATTTGCCATGGGCACGTAGTTTGCAGAGAACTCGACTTGCCCAATGGCGCAGATGCACACAAAGTCACATACCCACGTACACAAAACAGATTTACACCCCGTCGAGATGTTCGAGAAGGGGTCGAGTCAGGCCTCTGATGTCCTTTTCAGAACAGACCTGGATATGCAAAGCATAGCCAGGTTCGATCGAGCGATCCACAAAAGAAAGTAGATTGGGTTTCTGCGTGAGGTGTTTGAGTCGTGAGATCTTCGGTGCATGTGGGTGTGTTTTTGTTTTGAGGATACTGACTTTTAAGGTTGGTTTGAAGGGAAACTGAAAGGAAGCAACCATCATTTTTGGGGTCTCCCATGCCTGAGTAGGTTTTGGCCCATGGCTTTTGGTTGGTAATTTCAATCGCGTGGTCCCCACATCCGCACGTGGGTAGCTATGCCGTAGGCATAGCTTCCGAGCATCTTGCGTGCTGAAAAGGGCCCCCTTGTGAATTCCAGTCAGTCAGCCAGTGATTTTTTGGTGCCGCTCTTAAATGTGCCTTCCAAAGAGGGTCAACACAAATTGTCGGCGCACTCGTATGTTTCCAGGGTCCTTCAAGACAGGCACACTTGCCGCCAGAAACCCAGTCGCAACCAGGGCAATATGCGGCAGTTTGCCACGCGCCAGGTTGGAAAAAATGGCGGCGTGCGATCTGAAGCCGTAAATGTCGTGAAGGGTGACTGCGCTGTTGTTGGCGTGTTTTCTAGGTTTGTGTTTCTATTTTATAGGTCTGTTCATTGTTAGGGGGCTGCAAAAACCAGCTTGTGTTTTGCTACCATACCAACGGTTGGACATGTGAGGTCTGATTTGTCCCAAGCTTTCAGTGTTTGTGTTAGGCTCGGGGAGACGGGCTTGGCCGGTCAGGTTGATCATGTTACCTTGGCTTCTGTAATAGGAGCCTGAGCCTTTGGCAAAGTTTGCACTATATCGCAAGGTGGGCTGCGTTGTGATTCATCCCAACGGCCGGGCATTCAGCGTATCAGCCGGGCTATGAGTTGCGTGTTCAGAAAGGAGAGACATTCCGAGCGAAAATTCACAATGGAAACTGCGCAAGAAATACGTTCGCTTGTGTGAAAAGAGATAACACAATTCGAACCCATTTTGGTAAAGCTCGGTACTTACCAACATAAAGGTCTACTCTAGCCCGGTGTGCCCACCATTGTATATGCTGGATGCGGATAGCAGGAGGCACCGAATGGATGTAAGAGTACCAGAGACTTTCCGGGTAGCACAATGTCTAGATGCTTATGATATGAGTTCGTCTCCGAATGGAAGAGCCTCCAAAATGGATGATTTCTCTTTGGTCCTGCTTTCCCACAACCCTGCAAAGGTACCTTCAAGAAACATACACATGGAAGCCACCCACTTGGTAACTTTTCTTATTTGGAGACGTCCCCATGCTGTCTGCTGCAAGAAATTGTCCCTTGTGGCTTGTGGTACGGACGGGACTCGTTTGCGCCATTCAGCGGGGCGACTCATTGAGATGAGGTGATATGATGTGGTGATTTACGGAGACGTGGTGTGGGGAAGTGGGTGTTTCCTTTGAGATCGTTGGTGTCCGATTGGTTTCTATGGAAAGAGAGCGCCCGTAGTTTTGTTGTGAGTCCCGAGATCCTCTACTATTGAACGCGTGGAGTCCAATTGAAGACCTGGCGCAGTGAACATTATTCGCCCCCTTCCTTTTGAGGGAGGTATCAGACACGGAATGCGCATTCAATAGGATGAAGTCAAGGCGGCTGAAGCGGTCTTGCGTCAGTTCCCTTGAAAGGTCCATCAGGTTAGTCCTAGACCTCGGGGGTCCGTCCGTCCCCACAGACTTGCGTGCATTCGAAGAGAAGGCACTAGTACCTCTTCCAGCGTTTGATTTAGCACGTGGGCCAACTTCCGAGGTGAGCTTTGCATTTTCATTATGTCGTCCACGAACATGGAACCTGACTAGGGGGTCCTGGAAAGGGCCCCTCAGGTGGCTTCCATGTTCGTCCACCGGAGGGTACATAAAAGGAGAAAGATGAGCCTCGTCATGGTTGTTGTTGGGAAACAGTTTACATTTTCAGTTTGTTGGATTAGTGGGAAATCCCCACTTAACTGCTAACATATTTTTGTTGCTCCCCTTCCAACGTCAACCAAGTCGTGGTCGATGGCTTTTTTTCCAAGGCCGGACAGCGTCTACAAGGACCTGTGCCCCGCTGGCTTCTACTGTGCGGAGGCGTCTCGAAGCATGAAGCCGCCTTCGCCCGTGCCGACATGTTCTTCTTCCTGGACCCGGAAGAACTACCCTGAAACAAGGGAAGTCACCAACCGGAATGTTGGCCTGCAATAGCCATGTTTACCGATTTTTATGGGTAGTTTGGGGTGGGGGGGTCATGGTGGTTTCAGTGACGTCAGGATAGCTAGTGCCGTCGTAACTGATAAGAAGACCAGCACAATAAAGTGGTTCAAGGGCCGCATGTAAATTCACCCCCCAAATGAAACTAAATGGTTTTGATGGTTTGGCTTTTGTGGTGTTGGGTTTTGTGGTTTGATGGCAAAAGCTGACGCTGGTGATGAGTTTATAGTATGTGTACAACAACCGTTGTGGTACCTGGGCCCTCAAAGTACCCTGAAAAAAGGGATATCACCCCAGAATTTTGGGGCACCACCTCAAATTTTGTGGGTTAGTTTGAGGCTCCGGGTACAAGTGGTGCACTTGTCGACCTCTGGGTTGCCAGGCGACCACCTACGTGAACCGCTACAAGTTCCGGTGCCCTGTGGGCCGGGCTCTCAGAGAGATTCTGCCAGACCCCTGGCCTGGGAGTTGCCAATTCCTGGCTGTTTGGCCGACCTGTCCAAAACGAGTCGACCAGAGCTGACCCCTTCTTGGCCCATTTTTGATAAGTCATGGTCATAGCCACAAGCTTTGAACCTCTGTCTGGGGTCCTTTGGGCAAAGGAGTTGGCGATTTGGTGAACTTGGCGGTTCGTTGCATGAAGAACCGACCCTTGCAAGTGAACCATTCCTCGTGGTTTCCTTTCTTTGGGATTCTTGAGTTCCTTCCATCCCTTGAAATTCTCGCTGAGAACCATCAACGCACCTCTTGATTGACATCGTTGGATTCAGCATGTTATTGAGCAAGTTCAAAAGCCGGCCAGGTTTTGGGACAACGCAAATGGGTATGCGTCAAAATTAGACCACCAGGGGACCGCAGGTTTTGGTCCATGTTTCCACTTACTAGGGTTCCATTTGGGGGTGACCCGATTTTTGACCCACAGACAAATAAGTTCGAGCAATGGCCCCTCATGCTCCTTGTAGCGGACGTGGCAGGAATTTACCACGTCCCAACTTGGCCGGCTGAGTTCGCTGCGCAACCGCAAGCACGCGGCAAAGAGACTTGCTACCGGAAAGTCTACGCAAGCGTAGCCAAAGACCGACCAAAACATGTGTTTTGGCTGAAGTTGGTTTGAAAGAAGATGTCTTATTGGCACTTGAGGTGGCTTTTGCAACATCTTTCCGTCCTCTACGCAACCTTCCTCCGAAGCTCAATGCGTTCTGATGAACTTGCATTTAGTGCGTGGCCAAGGCGAGGGGGTAGTTAGCTTGCTGGTGTAGAAACAATTCCTGAAATGTGCAAACGCGGGTTGAAATCAAGCGTCGCTTTTGTTGTGCTCCGAGCAAATCGTCCCCTTTCGTAAAGTGCAGGGATGGGCTATTTCGCATTCTGCTTGAACATGTTAAGTTTTGGCCAGAAATCTATACTTGTCAATGGTGTCAGCGTGTGGTTTGGGTCGTTGAAACCTTTGACCTTTTGGGCTGCATGAGTTTGGTTGGTGCGGGGGGAGTGGGGGAGGTTTGTCGCGTTTCTTGGGGTCGGGGCTCAACACATCATGCGGTTTCAATGTCTGAACCCCTTCCGTTTGCTTAAGAATATGTTTTCAATTTCCCCTGCTGGTGTTAAAGGAAATATTTCCCCTCTTGGTTTGAAAGAGAATCTATCACTACTGTATTTTTTGATATATGTGTTTTTCTCCAGGTGTCTTAACCAAATGGAAGACCCACATACCTCGCGGAGGTGTTTTGATCATGCCTGGCATGGGGCAAAGTTGCCCATGGATGCAGGGCCACGCCGCCCCAATTTCTGCCGGCTCGGTGAGCCTATTGCTCTGGGGAGTGGGGGAAGGTGTCGAATCAAGCTTGGGGCTGATCAAACCTTTTGAGGCAAAACACATGTGCTAGCATTGTGCTTCAATGATCATGACTTGACTTTGACATACCCCGCCCATTGTTCTTTGGCCCTGCTTTAAGCAAAATGGGTCTGTCTCCAAATAGGTGACCCCTTTTTGGATGGTGTTGGCGGGGTTTCCCAAAAGGCGACCAACCACCTAGACGCGCGTTTGTTTTTTGAGACACGTCCAAATGGGGCACCCTAGGCTTCTACTGTCCAGAAGGAACCGGCGCCAGAGATGACCTGAAGCGGCGGCCCCAGATCGTCGGAATGGCAGAGCCCGACTTGGCTGGTCGGTGTGACCTCAGCCCCTCAATGACTGGTTTTTTCCACCAAACCTCTAAAGCTTATATAGTTTCAGACCCCTCCAAGCCTCTATACCCCAGAGTATAAAGCTTAGACCTTTTGCTTTTTTAATCCGGGCCGCGAATGAAGTTTCCTTCGTGTTCATTTGGTTTCAGTCGGGGGGTTCATTCGGCATCTGGAGTGTAAATCAACGTGGCTTGCCCAAGGGGTCCGATTCCCAAGAGGCTTCAAGATTCTGTTCCTATATTTGTTTTTCTTGGGGGGGTCCATGTTAATCCGGAGGTGAGGACAATCGAACTGGAGTTGCGACAGCAAGGCAGACAGAAAACAATTGAAGGAATGGTAGAGTGAGAACCCACGCCCATTACATGAGAGGAGGGTCGGAACGCAAATGCACAGGTAGTCTCATGATGGCAACTGGATCAACCAACGATGGGTAGCAATGATGTTTGTCATTTTCCTAATATGATGGTGTGCACGATGCGGAAGGGTCCCCGGAAGCTTGAACATGTCCAATCAAGTTTGTAGCAAATAGAAACCAATGATCATCTGGCACATCCAAAATCTTGAGGCGAGCGCTGCTGCAGGGAGTTGTGTGCGTCAACAAGAGAGACTTCTACCTCGCTCAGAAGGTCGGCGAGTCGGCGGGCTCTGTGGTCAACCCACTTGACTTGGGATTGCTTGGATGTTCGCCCAAGTTCCTAGGGGTACCTTCCTTTTCCATGCTTTCCAGGGATCCGCATCTTTCTAGAAAACCTCCGGAAACAAAGGGGAAAACGGATCCGGTTTTTGCAAAGAACGATGGCTGAAAAGAATGGAATTAGAATCAACCCCTAGAAAGTTAGTAGGTTGCGACGCCGATTTGGCTATATAACTAACCCCCCAACAAGGTGAACCCCACATGAACAAGGGGCACTTGTGAGTGGGTAGCCGAACGGTTACCGTTGCAACTGACTAGCTTGGCGAGCCGAAAAGTAGAGATGGTCCCCCAACAATTTGGTGCAGGGTTCCCTTAGAGGGAGCCATAGAACCACCTGGACCCAGCCAAACAAAAAATGGACGCCACAACAATTTTCATGGGTAACCTCCCATTTTTCCGGGAAACTCCCTGGATCCCAAGAACCAGCGACCAGGTCCCAACTCGCGACGAGTCTCGACGAACTAGCGATCGATCGCCTTGACTGGGCTCTCGCCATAAGGATTCTTTAGGGAACGCTAGTTGCAAAACCTTTAGGAACCTGCAAGGGGCTCTCCACTATCCACCGCATGCTACAAAGCCCTACAGAACCTGCAAGCGCCTCTCAACTCTCCACCCCTTACCCGAAAGGTACCTTACCTCCCACGGCTGGGCTACCCAAAAGGTCCCTCCCTCCCCCCTCCCGCGCGGCCCGCGGCTGGCCCCTCTCCCGCGGCTGGCCCGCCTCGCGGACCCGCTGGCCAGGTGTCGCAGTTCTGCCTGCGGCAGATCATGCGCAACCGCTTCGAGTTCGTGGCGCTGGAGCAGCTGCGCCTCGCGCGGGCCCGGACGGGTCGGCCGAGAAAGCCGGGTCGAGTCGGTGGGTCGTACCAAGAGACGCGGGGGGGGGGGGGGGGGGGGGGGTTTTGGGGAGGGGGGGGGTTTGGGGTTTGGGGGGGGGGATGGTGGGGTTGGGGGGAAGACAGGGAAATAGGAGAAGGCATGGTGAAATGGCTTCAGGCCTTGATTCAAGAGAAGATAGATGGAGAGAATGTGCAAAGGAGGAAGATGGGGAGTTGCTTTGGAGCGTCCAAGATGAGAGTGCCAATCCCTTGGACCAGTGCCTCATTTCGCGGCAAATCGGCTATCGCCTGCTACAGCTACACCTGCGCGTCTTGTCCTGTGACCTAGAGAGCTTCAAAGTGCACATGGATGGTCAATCTAGAGGTTATTCCAAAGAGATGCAGAGCGGCACATGCTACTTTGTAGACATGTAGTACATGTAGTACTATGTCATTGTCAGAAACTGAGTTCCGAAAGAGCGACAATGGTGACGCATGGTGACATGCCACAAACACATCGTCAACCGAATGCGAGGTGGAATTGCCAGTTTGCTCGCCTAGAGGGCGCAGAATTAGGATTGGGAAGTATAACATTGGGGGCAGCCCCCCCCACACTAATAGTCGTAAAACGCCACCGCCTCTTATTGCCATACCCAAAAAAACACAATCATATTTGAGCTTGCTGACTAGTTGGCAGAGGTTCCCCCAGTCACCAAGGCTGTTGTACTATAGCAGGATTGGTTAGGTTGTTGATGATTCTCAAACATGAGATGATTGTTCGTACTGGCTGGCAGCTGAGTCACGTGAGATGTGTGCTTCTCACTCCAATTGTCCGGAGTCCTGAGTTGCGAAGGGTTTCACCTTTTCTTTTTGAGACCGGGTGTTGGTGGGGATGTGATTTTAACATGAAAAATAGAAGGGGTGCTCTTCAGTGTATTTTTTTTTTGGGGGGGGGGTGCTCAACCGGAAGGAGAGCTTTCCCACCCGCTGTCCCAGACGCTCGACAGGCTAACCTGCCGCTGATCGACAAGAAGGAGATGGTAGAGATCCAAAGCAGCTGGATCGAGGACGGCATCATACTGCTTGGGCGGCACTCCCCACCATGCAAAAGAAGTCAGGTCCGGTTTTGGAAGACACAACTGGCTAGCGCAGAACTCTCAAACTATGCCGGGAGCATTTGCCTCTGCCGAACGCATGGAAGCCCGATTCAAACCTTTGGATTGCCCGAGATTCTCACAAGATCGGACATGAAAATTGAAAGACCGCATCTTTTGCTCAATGGAAGGAGCACAGCACCGTGGTCTTTCAAAGCATGGCAACCTGCTTGTGTTATGCCTTGTGCAGTGTGCCTGGTTGACATATTGCGTTGATCATTCCGCTCAATTCAATTTGGAGTCTGTTCTTTAGTATCGAACGATCATTGTGGTTCTGGGAACTGGAATCAGCAAGAAGGGTTATGACGCAACTCGTCTCATGGTTCCCAGTGGATCCATGTTCTCGTATAGTAGGTAGCCAAGGGAACCACCCTTTACAAACCAGTAGGAAAATAGTTGGTTACCTACAAGGGCAAGTAGAATCCATTAAGGTGGTTTTGGGTTATTGTTGTTTTGTTAGCACCTGTGGTGTCGGCTAAGGAAGCTCCATGACTGTAGGCGTTTATGAGACATGTTTGAGGTTCCTCCCCCTCCATGGCTCGTCTTTGTTTGGGGGTCCCCACAAAGTGGCGCAACGGTGCTCCTGTTAGTTTTCCTTTGACCCCAGCGAAAAAGGGTACCTATACCCATACAAAAGGGGCATCACCCCGTTTTGGGAGCAATATCCCATGTTTGTGGCTGGTTTGGGAGCACGGGTACCCCAAAAGCACACCTGTAGACGAAAACTGGACCCGAGACCAGATAGCACAAGCATCTTGGTCCATGTGTAGTCTCGTCCATGGTACGAATTTCGAACAAGGCATTTTATATATTTACGGGGATTTGAAGAATATATGTTGCTTTGTACATCCCAGATGTAGGGCAGGATGCTCTGCATTGTTCAGCACGAAGGACTTCTTGTAGCGGTAAGCATTTGACCAATTGAGCTGCTCGCATTAGATCGGATCGTTTAGTTGGTGCAATAGGAATCGTGTTGCGTGATGCGTTGAGGGATGGACTCGGTTGGTCCACCCCCTGAACCTGTTGTTTAGTCTCGATAGGGAGTTAGTTTATGGTCCTGTTTGCCTTTTGGCTTGGCCCCAAAACAAGCAATAGAGGGCAAGGTCGGAGCAAAAGAGACCTATTTAATTGCCTTGCATGGCGTTTGGGTCACTTCGCCTTCTCGTTTTGTAAGGACTTCGACTTGCAGTACTGCCAGGAGGACGCGGTGATGGCAGCAGCTGGCTAAGACGTTCGCAATCAAACCCAAAACCTGGAACAATTGAGCACCAGGAGGCCGCTGTCTGTGGGGAATCCTCTTCTCACTTTTAGATTTCCTGGACTTTATTCTTTTTGAGTTGGGATCCTAGTGGTAAACAACAAGTTTGGACTCTCGGGATCCACTCAGGAAGTGAGTCTATGAGTAGGGGATCCTCTTGAGACTAACGCAGTCAAGGTTGGATGGGAATCCCCACTTTGAGGTCCACATGTCGCTCGTGGCTACGCAGCGAGGTGGAAAAGGGGAAAGCGTTTGATTGGAAAGGGTTGCTTTGGTCTGGCAACGGAAGCACACAGAGTGAACTGGGGGCTCACATAGCACGTATGTTTCCGCGAAAGGGCGAACCGAAAGGGATGGCTAGTGGTTCTAGTTTTCCATCCCACCCCCCCCCCCCCGACTATTGGCACGCGTCGGGTTGAGCCATGCGGGGGTTAATTGAACAATTCTTTACGTGGGATGGCCAGTATATGGAAAACCACCAAAAAGGAGACCTTCCCGCTAAATGGGGCAAGTTACCAATGGTCATTTGGGTGTGTCATTGCTCTTGGAGGACTTTTGTCCTGGGCTTTACAGGGAAAACAGAGGAACATCACCATTGTGGGGGTCCGCTAAATAAAGACACACTCATTTGGGGTCGAAGGGAATATTGAAAGACCCCCAGCGGTGAGGTCTGGGAGAAGTACTACAGCGACGACGTCAAGGATCGATTGTGCAGTCCGAGGGCTCGTTGAAGGTTGTGAAAGGCGGTCATTGGATTGGCCTGAATGCGGCAACCCATGAGGTCCGGGTGGAATGCGGACTTTACTGTTCTTCTTGTTTGCGTTTGCTTGTGAAGCTTCAGGAGAGTATTCAGGGTGTGGCTGGTTTCCTGTGACATCTGGTATATTGACGGTACCACCTCTCATGATCCTGAAGTCGGAAGGTCGGGAGACTGGGTTCGAGAGTCATGTGTTGTATATGAGCCACGGACCATATGACCGGTACATTGTTCCTTTGGAAAGGACATGGGGGGTCTACCCCAGTATCGACCGTGCCAGAGCGACCTGATAAAAGAAAGGGTGCTGAGTCATGAGTCACAATAAGCCGTGAACACCTTACATATGCGATATTTTCAGGACTTTACTCCTTCCCGCTTGCACAGCCAAGGCGCATACCAAAGCAATAGATGGAAGCGTCACTCTCCCGCCGCATTCATCTTGAAACAGGTCAGCCACAATCAAAGCCCGCGTAGATGAAGGCTAGTAACGCATATTCCCAACCATAAATGGGTGGGGTGCAGCCGCCTTTGTGAGTCTTTACATGCATGGAAGATCATTTTAACACCAGCTTTTGCTTACGACTCAGGTTCCTTGGGCTTCTGAAGGCTCCGTTAGCTTCTATTCAAAGGTTTTCCGAAAACGCTTCCAACAAGCACCACCTGAAAGCTTGTCAGATTCTCCGGCATCGGGTTTTTGACCTGGGAACGTCCTCCTTTTTGCCCCCCCCCCCCCACCACTTGCCCCCCCCCCCCCCCCACCACTTCCCCCCCCCAACCACCCCCCCCCCCACCACCCCCCACTGGCCCGGGAGACCCAGATCCTCGCAGGGCAACGACGTCCGCGCTGGGATCCTCGCGATGATCTCTGCGATTCAGAGTGTCGCAACTCGGCCTCGAGATCTCGCGAGCGAGCCATGCAGGGAATCCGATTGTATTCTTTGAATTGGAAGCGTTATCCACATGTACCCTCTAGTTACAGAAGGTCCAAGGATGATTTGTTGCTTTAGCCAGCACAAGGAATATGCCTTGGAGTCGTGTACGACCGGGCTGTTTACTTGTGTCCAAATGCCTTCGTCAACTTTCCTGAAAGCGTTGTCAACAGCTCAATGACAAGAGGTTGTTAGTCTGGTTGTTGTCTGTTTGTGTGCGCCTTTCTGTGTGTGTGGGTTTTGTGCATGTCTCCGTGTATGTCATCGGTGAATGTATGAATCATGTCTTCGTGTTTGTGTGTCTGTGTTTGTGTGTTTGTGTGTTTGTGCAGGTGTCTCTGTATGTCTTGGTGTGTTTATATGCCACTCACTCACCAAGAAGGCGACTCAAGCAACAAATTAGCCGCCGGAGACCCGGTTTTCCAACCCCAGCTTGTCTTGCTGGTCAGGAATCACCGTTTCCGGGTTTGGGGACGTTTCGCCCTTTCGGGATCGAGCGGAAACCAGCTGGATGGTCGGGACACAGCTTGCCCTCATTCGCCAGATTCGGCTTGCCCTGTCCTTCACCCAAGCGAGAGGGTACTCCATTGGTCAGGTACCCCCCCGCGGTTTGGCGCGGTTTGGGGCCCTCGTTCCCAGCTGAAAGCATCTGAAAAGTCGATCCCAGAGGCTTTGGGGATCGGGATCTTCTTGGGCTGGGCCGGGGATACCACCTTCACACATTTTGAGTTGGCACCCGTTCTTTGGTTTCAAAGGAACCAACAGAAGCGCCGCTGTGCCATGTTACTTGTAAAGACGAGGTGCGAATAGTTGTCCACATGTACGCCGTATATCATTGGCATGGATTGTCTCAGAGAGTCAACGGATGATTTACTTCAACCAGCACAATTTCGTCTAGCTGAACACATCCTGAAACTCGATAGGCCCATGTGCGACGGGGAGAAAAACACGCCTTCCGGAAAAAAGTCCCAGGGTCCAAAAATGCCTTCAACATTCCCTTCAGTTTTTTCGGGCCATCGCCCTTTTTACGGGCTTGGTTTAATTTTTTTACCCACACCCACCTGAAGCCCCAAACTACCCCAAACGTTGAGGGGGGTCCCTAGAAAAGGAGGACTCCAGGGTGGTTTAGCTGGTCACAGAACCAGCTAGAGTCTCCTTCTGACCCTTGAAAAAATGGGTCCACGACCCCGTAAAAAAAATGGGTAATGATAATCACCCACACCGTTTTTTCAGGGTCAGAAGGAGACTCCAGAGGCCTCGGATTTTGGTCCATGCCACTTACCAACCCATTTTGGTCCGGTTTCTTGAGCCACAGCTGGGTAGTTTGGGCGCATGCGCCCCCGCGCCCCCGCGCGGGGAAGGAATGTTCAGCTCGGCTTCTCAGAGCCGAGGACTTCCTGAAGGCGGGGCTGCTCTACAAGCTGCTCCTCTCCCCCGAGACCTACCGCAACAAGCCTTCGCCTCAGGTGGGGTGCTTCGTTTTTTTTTGTTTCAGTTTCTTCGTTTTTTTTTGTGTGTTTTGCTTCTTCTTCTTCTTTTTTTTCCGTTTCCGGTGGGGGGTGTGCCTCAGGGGTGGTGTTTGTTAGTATTGCGATTTTATGTTTTCCCGGTTTCGGTGGGGGGTGGTATTCTGAGGATGGCGTGCTGCCCCAAAATGATGGGATGAGTTTGTGTGTCTTTTTAGGGCAGCTTGAGGGGTGTGATTTTCGAGAGTATACCATGTTTGGGTTGATTTGCGTGGAACCCACAAGGAAACCAGCCATTTTGGGGGTTTCCCTATTTTGAGATAGTACCAAAGCCATAGTGCGGTCTGCTGAAGCAAACGCTCCCTATAACTCTTTGACTCTCAGAACACGCAAGGTATGGTGCATGCAATTTCGAATCTTCGATGGTCGGAAGACCATCGAGCAGAAATGGGGATTTAGGGTATGAATCTAACATGAGGTGGGGCGATCCCCTTAGATATGTGCCCGTGGTATGTGTCATTTCGGTCCTTTGGGCTCCGCTTTAAACCAACCCCTTATTGAGGTCTGTGAACTACTCATGAAGATACCGATTGAAAGGGAAATCGGAAAGGAAAGCCATTTGTTCGAGTCTCCTTTCATCCCCCCAAACTTGAACTATTCAAAGCCATTTTCTGTGTGTTGTTTCCCTTAAGCGGGTCCCCCGACTTAGATGCCCACACTCACTTGTGTCTCAAAGTTGGTGGTTTTGCCCAGTGGATCCCTGACAAGCAGTTGTACTAGGTAGCCCTACCAGCCATGTTCCTTTTGGTTTTGCCAGGGTGACCCACGCCCTTGGTTACCTACCAAAGCCAGGTAAATGGCTCCGGGTTGGGCTTCCCATGACGCCAACCCCCGAGCAAATGGCAGTGGGTCAAAAATAGGTACCTAAATGGAGCCCATGTAAATAGAATTAAGGACTCAAACCTGCGGTCGCCTGGTGGTTTCATTTTGGCCCGTACCCAAATTTTCGACCGGTTGCTCAGGTGCAGCGAGCACAGCCAGTTGCTGGGGGGAACGCCCTTCCCGCCCCGGCGCCCAGCGCGAGGTTTTTCGGCTGTTTTGGTGCTGGCCACGTCTGGGTAACATCGGATTCCGTGAACCGGAAGTTTTTGTCGTGTGCCTCTTGTGGATTCCAAGAACTGGTTGGTTGCCTCCGGGTTTCCCTTTGAACCAGCCCCGAAAAAACATGTCATCCAAGGAAGACAGACCCATGACTTGCCCTTGGTGCTCGGGGAAAAATCGAGGGACATTTTGCGCCTGGAAACCAGAGGGCCGCAGGCCGCGGCGATCGGCACCAGGGATTGGTGGTCTATCAACCAGTTTCGGAATCGGGTTTCATCCGAATCCCAGGAGGTAATTTTGTCCATGAAAGAGAGACCTCCAAAATGGGCGGCTGCCCTTAGTTTTTTGTTTTTTGTTTTTTCTCCTTTTTTTTGCGGGCAGCCTGAAACGATACCCGCAGATCAGCGCCCGTGAAAGCGGTGTGTGCGCACAGCTAAGTAATTGATTCAAGGGGTGTGCGGAATGTGCGGTGAGGCGTCGTTTCTTTATCTAGGGGGCGAGGATCTGCTCAGTGAGGTCTGTCAAACGCAAAACACCAAGAGATGTGAGAAACGACCTGCTTAGTCGGATGTCTCAAAGCTGAGTGTATTGGAGAAACCGCGCAACACTGGCAATGTTTTATTCAGAGGTATACCAAAGGGTGTCACAAGCCTTTCCTCTCCGTGAAGCCAAGCAACTGCCGAAATGGCTTGGGGAATGCCGAAGTTGATGCGAATATGGTAGATCAACGCAGGCAGAGACCTTTGACATGTTGGCAACACTCAAATAATTGCGCAGGCATTGTATGGACCATTTCTTTGATTTCTGGCTGAAGGATCCCGGTGTGTTTGTTGGGTGATTCTGGAAGATGGGGATGACTCTGTCGCTAATCAATCCTAGCAATTGATTTCCTGATCTGCTGACCATGACTAGCACGCAAATATGAACGCCATCCCATAAATAAGTATTGCATGGATTCTGAATTGGAGGGAACCGCGTGCTTTTTGTTTTTGTTTTTTTCTTGACCCAAGTCGGCTTGCCATTTGTGGCTTACAGATGCCCATTCTATTCAAGTTACATGAACGTGTTGATTTTGAATAAGAAGTGCACAGTGAGGTTGCAGTGCTTGATCGCGCGGGAGCATGCACAGCATCGAGTGTTCCTTTTGCAAGTCTCATCTCACTTCCGCTTTACCAACTGGACCTAAAGTAGCTTTTCGACACAGGGGTTTATGAGTTTGGCTCTAATATGTAGGTTTACAGGCTTTATACGGTGTATAAGGTTTGTAAGGTTTATAGGGTGTAGGGTTTACAGGATGTATCAGGACCAAAACCCGAGGAAAACGTAGCCACGATTTTGTCAGGCTAAGGTCATTCGCACTTGGTGGCATGGCTGTACATGGACAAGAGCACCTAGGAAGCCCGGAGTTTGTTACATGGTGTTGGTGGATGCCCCATACCCAACCACATTCCATGATTAAATTAGAGGAATTCCTTTTGCGCTTACTTGCAATGTGGCAAGGGCATCCGCCGTCCGGAGTCTCCTTTGGATGGCAATCACTTTGTCACTGAAAGGGCGGCTTTTCCATGTCCAGCAGTTGAAAACGTCGAATCGCGACCTGACGGTTCGCGACACCCGCGATATGTTTGCCTGAGGTCCCCTTCCTCTTGGTGAGTGATTTCGCACAGCCATACCAGGGACGTGTTATGTGTCATACGAACACCCGGAAATCGGTGCTTTGCCTTTTGGCTCTTACCTAAGCCAGTGGACCCCAGTTTGTTGTAGCCAGCCACGTTCCTCTTGGTTTTGAAAGGGCGACTTGCCCGTGACCTGTCTAGGTCGATGCATCCACCGGGTAAGGGTACCAGCTCGAGACACCGCCAAAAACCTCAGCACCCATAGCTACCGCGTGCTGAGGGCGCGGGAGTGCTTCGGAGATGCGTCATGGGCTGAGAGATCAATTTCGATCTTTTGTCATGTCCGTTCGTTTGTCCCTTCGTTTGTCCCTTTGCGCTGTTCCCCGCAATGCGGTTTGTAGGGCAAGGCGCGAGGTTCTGTGTTCGGAACTTGGGCCCTTGAAAGCAAGTAAGACGTTCATTCGTTGTGCTGTTCCCCGGTACGTATCCGGTCTTTGAAGTGTTTGGTTTGTTTCTATCATTGGCATGGTTGGCGGGGCCCTTTAAAGCAGGTAAGACCCCCAGCAGCTAGGCTAAGAACAAGGACATCTAATGAGGTTCGGCTCCAAAATAATGGGGCTTGTCAAAATGATGACCAATGTACGGTCTCGGCCCCTGTCAAGGCAGCGCAAACTGACACAAGGTTTTAAACAAAGAGGCCCGTATGACCTCAACTCGCTGATCACTTGGCGATTCCGTCCCCTTATGTGTTTTTGGGGTTTCTTAGTGTTAGTGGATCATTTAACCAAGTTAAACTTCTAGCAGGGGAGCTGTGGACAGCCCTGACCAGCATGTGTTGTTCTTGCGCGTGACATGTTGCGGCCAGACGAGTTGGTCTCTCCCCTCCCCTTTTGAAAGGGAGTCTGTGACTTGGGAAGCAAGCCTGCAGGCGAGGGGCTCCAACCAAATTGTCGGATTATCAAGCGAAGGTGTGAGGTGCAAGCCTACAATTCATAGTGCCCTGGCTGTGAGACACTTTTTAGACAGACCTTGGAATGCCCTGCATGGGAACCCCCTCGGACCTGTTGAGTGGGATTCAGGTGGCCATAGTGTCCCTTTGATAAGTTAGTAAGGTCTTTGCGATGTCGTTGATTTGCACAGAAATAAACTGTTCTGGCACTTTGTGGGTTATTTCGTGCTCAAAACAGGGCTGGTTTCAAAGTGACTGTCACATATGGGTGTGTCTTGTTTTAAGGGACCCCAACAAATAGTTGGTTTCCTTCTGGGTTGCCTATAACACAAGCCAAAAGGGGAGCCAACAAATAACAAGACACCCATATTTAGGGGTGACAGATGCGAGGGCAGGTCTTCAGGTATTCAAGCTCAGAGACGTCGAACGGAAACATGACTGCACCTTGTGAACTTTGTATGTGTTTAGTTCCTTTCCTTTGCCTCGCTGCTTTTTTAATCAGCACCTTTGAGATAAGTGGGTTAGTGACTGGTAGTCTTGAATATGTTTCCGACTCGATATGTTTCGGACATATTCAGTTGATCGCTCGAGCGACCGCGACTGCTTAAGGAACTGCAACAACGTTTCTCAGCTGGAGTGCTTGTGCACTGCAAGTCCTGCTGCCATGATTTAGAATTACCCTCCCAAAAACAATCATAGAACCTCCACCGGGTCCCCTTAAAAGATGGTCTTCCAGATACCCCTGTGCAGGTTCTATGTCTGTTTTTGGGAGGGTACCCGGCTTGAGTGTGTTCGCATGTGCCGCTCTTGACCTGCACGCTCGGCAAAACCTGATGACTCCAAAATATGCCTTCCATTTGCTTAAGCATATGTGTTATTTTCCCCTCTTGGTTTTGAAGGGAATCTCTAAATCACTCCTGGAAATATGTTTTTCATTTTTTCCGGGGGGCTTGAGCAAATGGCAGATGCCCATGCAGAGAGCTTTGAGTGTTGAGTCAACAAGGCCTGCATACTTGGAGTTTCGAGGGATGGCCATGGATTATTGTATAGACCACCAGGGAGCCATCCCAACTATACTTACAGGCGGAAGTAGATGGCCGTTAGATGTGGGTGAGTAAAGGGAATGGTTTAACCATGATGAAGTTGTGCCATCTACTTTCACCCAACTGTAAAAAGGCAGTTGTGCGTGCGCCTACTTTCAATCTGGTGTAGTTGGATCCGGGCAGTAGGTGAATTCGCCAAAATCCGCCAGAATCCACCGCGCTGATGCTGAACTGCTTCGATGGGGACTACCCGGCCGCGAGTTGCGTCAGCGACGCCGGCATGGAGGACCTTACAGCGAGTATTGCTTTTCGGGATACCCGTTTGCAACTTGGTTTGCAGAACAACCAGAGGGACACACACACGCACACATTTTTTGTGGGACCTCTGCTTTGACACACATCCAACGCACAAACAAAGGTCTGAACTTATTTAGGTGCTACATGTCTGTGGATTTTCCCACAACGGAACCAAAACCAGCACTTCTCCAACAGCTGCTTTTTCCCACATCCAAAAACTCAAGTACTGTCCCAAAACCGTGGTTGGGGGGTGCTGGAAGGAGGTCGGTAACCTTTTTTTCCTCCACAACACCTATTTATTACCCAGTGCTGTTGACCTTGCGCAAGAACCTGCCCGTCCTTTTGATTTGCCTTGCCTCGAGAGAAACGAGAAGCATGGTGTTCTCAGTGGAAGGACACCTCAAATCCATGAAGCTTTTAGCACGCCACGAACACGCACGGGTAGTTGTCATAACTGGGGATGCCGTTTGGCCGCTGTGGAAATTCGGAAAGGGAACAACGGGACATTCCCGCCCTCTCGGTTGGTGCCTCAGCGACTGGCCTATCCATTTCTATAGTTCATATATCCCCGACAAAAGGTAGGAGTTTCCTTTCGTCCGTACGACTTATCTAGACTCAATAGATGTGAAACCACTCTTATTTGTTGCCCCTGCTCGTGAGGCACGGCCGGCCAATAGGTGCAAAGGGTAGGTACGCATCATGAGTGCGGGTACGAGGCGCGGGTGCCATGATTGGGTGTGTTTGAGGTGCGGGCACGCGGTGCGAGTACAGGGTATGGGTGCGATGTGTAGGTACCTTCCACCCGTACCCCCCGCACCCTTGGCTTGCACCCGTACCACGTACCCTACCCGCTAAATCAGGCGCTACTTGGGTACGTGGTACGGGTGCAGGCCAAGGGTGCGGGGGTACGGGTGCAGTGTACAGGTGCGCACCTACACATCGCACCCATACCCCGAACTCGCACCGCGTACCCGCACCTCAACCCGCGCCTCGTACCCGCACTCATGATGCGTACTTACGTTCCGCACCTGCCACATGTACCTTGTTATTTTGAATTTCATCACACTATAGAGCACTACTCTCGAAACTAACTAACGTACGACAAACGGGTTCGACGTTCACCAATTATCCGATATCATTTGAGCTCCCTTCGGCTCTTTGGTTTTGGTTGGGTACTATCTAGCATGGCCCTTTCCGTGCTTTCGATTGCTTAAGCTTGTTTGTTTTTGTTTTGCCTGTTTGGTTGGAAGGGAATCTATCACTACTGGACATATGTTTTCTGTTTCGCCAGGGGACGCAAAAGGAAACGGGCGCTAAGATGATGGTAGACAAGATCTAAAAACAAGGTCTCTGGGTGCCCGGGCCCATTGTCCTGATGTTTTGGTCTGCAAAAGGGGACTATCTTTTTTAGGTGACTCTCCGCTCAAGATGGTGGTTTGTTCCTGTTGGTTTTCCTTTACAACCACCAAACAAACAGGTACCCTCAAAAAAGCAAAGCCAAAAATGATGATGGATTTGCTCTTTGCCCGAAGCGTTGCAGGTTGAAGGGTTGCACGTTTTTTCTTCAGGAATCAAGCCACATAGATTTCACAGCTTTGTCTCTAAATGAGTGCACCGCAAATTGGCGGTTTTCCTCTCCCTTCAAACAAGGTGAGAAGGGTACCCTTCAAACAGACTCACTTGCCCAAAGCCGACCTTTTGATCGTTTGCTTCCCCTTTTTGGGGTCCCAATTTGATTAAAGGCCCCAACAGGTGATCTGTTCTTTTGCCAGGTCTGGGCCAGTGAGAAAAAACGCACGCTACCCCCTTTTGGTGGTTTGGATTGGTTTGGAGATTTGAACTGTTCAACTCTAAATGGGAAAGGCGCCCAACATCCAAATCGCGAAGCCAAAGCACAAGCGAATTACCCTTGGGTTCAAACCGCCTTTAAAACAATGGGGGTTGCTAGAACCACAATTGTTTACCTAAGGATTGTCATTTAAACCGGGCGAACCATGCTTTTCTTGCTGGTGCTCAGGGACTGAGGGAATGACTCGGAATGACCCCCATCACTTCTCCAACTGGTGGCTTCCTTTTTATTATAGGGCATTTTTGTCGGGTTCCTGGAAACTGGGATCCGGTGATAAGTCTTCACTGGTTTCCTTCGGGAATCCGAAGCCTTCCAGTTCCTTCCCCTGGCTCATTCAGCTTTCGCACCGATGGCGCTTGGAGCCTTCGAGGACTCGATGTGCTTGGACCCCTCCACCGACATCAAGTCCGGGGGGTCGGTGGGGCGCCTGGATCGATGAGCCGTGCTCCATGGTTGGCGTGCACAAGACAGGCGTCAGGTGTCAAAAGGTCCTGGAGCCTCAAACTGGACCCCAAGTATGGAGACACCCTAAACCACCACAAGACCCCTAATGAAGATCTAAGCCAGCCTGAACCTCCCTCAACTTGTGCCTCCCATCCAATCAGAGCCAATAGGCCACCGGGCCAAGTGATGCTGGGGATGTTGCCATCCCTGCGGAAAACCAGCCCTAGGAAAACACCAGGCCTAGGAAACAAATAGATACTACCGTTACTTTGGTGCGTGTTGCTTGAATGTCAGGACCTTAACTTTTTGCCAACTAACAAGTTTTCCATTAAACCACTACAAGTTAATTAAGCTTTTACCAGGGAAGCAGAAAGCAACCGAGGTTCGTTCGGGTCGAGGCATGTTCTGTTTGCCGAACTAAAGAGATTGACAGCTCGCATACGGAACGATCCCAGATCGACGACTTTGACCTCATGGCTGGCCACTACCTCTCCTACGTCCAGTCTTCCCTGAAGGAGGCGCCCTGCCAAGCGCCAAGGAGGCGTCCAGAATACTTGATACGCACTGTAATCTGTCGATGTTTGTGCACATCCCCTTGTGTTGCTTTATTTGTTTGTTTAAACAATGGGGAAATCAAGAGAGGAAGACAGAAGACGGCACACCCACATACTTATACTTGGAACGTACCGTGGAACAGTGCAGTACGTACATACTTCACATTGTATCATATGCTCGACAGTTCTCGAGGCGTTGCTTTTGTGCCCAATGAAAGCGTGGCTCCGCAACCCAAGGAAGCCAATTGCCTTCAGCAGTTTCTTGGTGGCTTCCGCTGTGGTGACCCAAACTGCTTTTCCCCCTAATATCCCGAAAGCCCATAGCAAACCATCAATCCAAACCAAGCAAGCAACCGGAACCTGACAAACAGTGTACTCTTTTTGGCTGGCCAAGTAAGTTTCAGGGGACGAGTCGAGTTCAAAAGACAATGGACAAAAAGCATCCCCCAGCTGCAGATTCCTCAGAACATGGAGTTTGTTTGGCATCAAACTGCTCTCGAGTAGGTGCATACCAGCGCCAAACAGGACCACCACTAAAATCGGCAGAGTCCCAAATAGGGAGGTTTTCTTTTTGACCAATCCTCGTTTGGCCCCACATGGCCATGAGTAGCTTCTGCCATCTAGTGTAAAAGTCATTTCGTTGGTGGTTTTCCCAAATGGTCATCCCATGTAAAGGACCTTTTGATCAACCCACCAAAAATAATTCCTGGTCCTACGCTTTTTGGGTGGCCGTTGATGTGTGAAATGCGAAGATCCGAGTGAGATGCCCCCGTACTCCTGGCGGGTTGCTACTTGGGTACCGCTTCACAGTCATCTCTCATAGGCATCCTGTTAGGTTGAAAACGAATGGAACCAGACTGGAAAATCGGTTTGGTTCTAGTCCTTTATATACCCCTCTCTGGGGTTGTCTCAAATCGGAGACCCTCCCCAACTTAGTGTTTTCCATTGAACTTCCATGACAAGAGCATCCAACAAAAAGAGTTCCCAAAAAGCAGACAATCCACGTTTTCTGACAGCTTAGCTTTCATTCTTGGCCGCCCTAGGTTCTGGTTCTGTACCCAACCCCATTTATATCAAACCATATCCAACCCAATTTGCGGGGGCCAAGTTACTTCTTCAACACAGACTTTGGCGCATGTTGCTCGGATGTAAGGACATTTGAACTTTTGCCAACTAATGGGTTTTCCACGTATTAAACCACTGCAACGTTGAGCTTTTAGCGGGGGAGAAGAAACGCGCGACACGCGACAAGAACAAACCCGCTTGGCCGTTGGCCGTTGGGGAAAACCTATGCCAGGAGATGCAGGCGCGCTACGCGGAGACGCAGGCCACGGTGACGCGCTGCCCCTTCGGTGCCCCGATGTCGGAGGTTCGAAGGCGAGGAACGTTTCGAGGAAGTCGAGAGCCCAAGACGCAGGCGACGCTTACATGCTTGTTGTTTGGGAAACATGTGAAATTCATTTTTGCCTATTGTGGTTTAGTGGTGGAAATCCCCACTGAACTGCCAAAAATTAAATTGTTGCTCCCCTTCCAACGTCAACCAAGTTTAGGTCTAGTAAATGGAGGGCAGCGAAGCAATCTAAACCCTCTGCTTTAACTTTTGTCAGGGGTAGTTTGAGGGTCCAGGTGGTCATCGGCACTGAAGCGGCGCGCCAAGCTATGCGCCTTTTGACCCGAATCAAAAATGGTCAGTACTCAAAAGAAAGGAGTCATGACCCCATGTTTAAAGGGTCATCGAGACTCCAGGTTATTATTATTAAATTCTTGGTGGCTCCCAGCCATCCGGTTCCTTCGCCTTCTAGCTTTTTAGTGTTTAGTGGCAGTTTCCGAATTTAACCCACTAAACGTGAGTCACTTTTCGCGGGGGATCTGAAAACGGGCCGCCAAGTATCATTCGTCACCCCCAGATGAAGCGCAGTCGACGACTCCCAGGTACCATGACCATCAGCGATGGTTCCATGCAGCTGGGGGACTGCGTGAAGCGGAAGTCGGCACGCGCCGCCATGTTTGAGACGCGCTTTGAACCACCGATTTTCCAAGCAACCAGTATACAAAGGGGAATACTACAGGAAGCATTGGTTTGTGGTGGGTATTGGGAAATCCAAAGTTCTGTAAAATTTCAAGTAGCTGGCTTCCATGAAATTTGCTGGTTCATGCAAGATATGTTCCTTCTATTGCTCAGGTTTTGTGCCAAGAAACACCCCAAAATTGGTAAGATGTGACGGATTGCTTGCATGTCTTTCTTGCGCGAGCAATTGGATGCCCTGGAGACAAGAAGACGTTCCAAGGGAAGGCGTCAAACAAGCGTAACTCAGGGAATGTGCCAGCAGTCACGGCATGCTCGGTGTTCTTGCACGTTTCGCTAGACTGTTCCACCGGCATTAGTGACCGCTTGCAGTCTGAAATTCATTGGTCACCTGCGACCTGTCCTGAGGACTTCTGTCTTCCTGACCCTCAGACTCCCTGTAACAATGGGTTATTGCCCTAAATATCGGGGTGGTTTTAATTTTTGTAAGGGTCATTTGAGGGTCCAAGTTGTTGCAATGGACCTCAGGATTCTTGGTCAGACTAGATGGCGTTGACTCCGATGTTCCAAATCTTACTTGCAACCAAAGCGAAGCGGCTTGACCTGACCTTTTGGTTCCCCCTTTTTGGTCCATATGCTTTTCAGGGCCCCAAAAGGTGGATGCCTTTCATTTCTGGGTCCAAACTGCATGTGAATCATTCCCACTGGATGCTGAGCTGCAGTATTTGAAGGTCTGCTTGCCTGCCGAGAAGTGCTTCTTGTCCTCGTTTCATGGCGCACTTAGTCATTTCCGCATACAGACAACACTGCCTCAAGAATAGCTCCAACATCATTCGGTTCATGTGCGCATGTGGTCATCCAATGTTGCTTTCGAAGTACATATTCGGCGGCCACGTCTATCATTTGCTTTGCGTCTTGCTTCGGCAAGGGGTGTCGAGAGTCAGAATGTTCTTGAGAGCCGGAACCGTTCTTTTGTACTTGGGTGTTCGGCCACCTATACGTCCCCCCGAGTGGGGTTACCCTTGTCATTAGGGGGTTATCCCATTTGGCTAACCACTTACTAATTTGGCCGAACATCCAAGTAAGGGTGTGAACCTGCACTTGCTGATAGGATAATATGTTGATCAACAGGTCTTGGTTTTGACTTTTGACTCAGCAGGCTTCGTAGACTTGCCATCCTCCGAGGGCAATAAGTGCGGGTTGGTCAGACCAACATTGCTCGAAGCTGGACCCTTGATGAAGTGCAAAGGTAAAGGAAGGGCTATATTTGAGAAAGATATGAAAGATACAAATAGGAAATTCAAGGGTGAACTGGATCCCCTGTGAGTATGAAGCATCGCCGATGCCTGGGCTTTGTATTCTCATGCAGCTGCTGCAGATTGTCACTAGAGCTGAGCGCTTCATGTTGTGTGTTGTTGTCTAGGAGCGTTTTTACGCAGGAAGCTGCTGCAAGCAAATACCGGTATACACACATACACATATTACATATACAATTTACAATATATACTGTATACAGCATGTACAGAGAGAGAGAGAGAGAGGGAGAGACAGACAGAGCCAGAGACACAGCCAGAGACAGAGACAGCAGAGCCAGAGACAGACAGAGACAGACAGAGACAGACAGAGACAGACAAGACAGACAAGACAGACAAGACAGACAAAGACAGACAGGACAGACAAGACAGACAAGACAGACAGGTACTGTATAAAGAGATAGACAGAAGAATAGATACATATATATATATATAGATAGATAGATAGATAGATAGATAGATAGATGACATACTTTTCATGGATAGGTCACCTACTCGGCAGGTCACCTACGTGCAAGAACAACTGGATATGATCGTGCAGCGTTTCAATCCCGCTCGAAGCGCCCAGAGAGCCAGTGGATTTTGTCACGGTGCGGGGTGGTGGGAAGAGTGTGTCTAGGTCCCACAGTGGTGCCGTTTTTACCAACTTTTTTGGGGGAGGGTTCCCCTACTAAAAATCGACTACAGAAAAAGGGTACCCTTATTCTACCCTCTCTACTGGAGGACCTAGGTGGTTTTTGAAAAGGTTGAAAGGGCAACCATAGTGAAACACTCGTTCTGTGGATTCTGGCATTTGGAGACAAAGCCGTTCGTACCACATGTGATACACCTGGTGGAGCTGAGGTTGGTCATCAATTGATGGGGAACTGTTATTGATGGCTGTTATGGGCAAGAAGTTCCACAGCCAAGCTTCAGATACTTGAGGGATTCTTTGACAAACTGCTCCGTCGGCTGTGAGGACCACTTGTGACCAGTTTGCCAAGTGCAACTCTTCAGTGCCTTTGCCTGTCCCAGTCTTGGCCATGTCAACTTGCACTCCCAGGGTTCTAGATTTGGCCAACATCAGACCGCTATGAGTGTCGAAAAGGAAGACAAAACAAGCTGGGGGATGCTACTTCCCACGCGAAGGATGTCCAATTTTGACCTCTCCTGGAAAGTTTCCGCGAAGCCCATACTGTGGATGGCCGAAATCCATTTCGCACCACCTAAGAAATCCTTGTGTTTGAGCGTACATGCGGTGCGAACGGATTTCATCCATCCACAGATAGGACTTCTTTCGCTTCGCCCTTCTCCGCGTTTCCCTTGAGGTCGACACGTTTCTGTCGCCAAAGAAGTGGGCCGCGAACTTGGCAGCTCTCCGAAGCGAGCCTTGAGTTTTTTTGCGACTCCTGGAGTCTCCATGACCCGAAAAGGGGGGGGTGCCAGACTTTATGGCTATTGGGTTGGAGCTTTTGACTTTAACTTTTTGGTTGGCACAGGTCGAGCCCACCAAAACATGAAGCACTTCTTGCAGAGGGATCTTTGCCGCAACCAAGCTAACAACACCTGTACACAATTTCCTAATTGGGTGTCTAAAAATTGAGGACCCTGAAAAATGGCGGAATGTCGTTCAAAGAGACCCTAGGGTATGAACTCCTAGATTATGGGTTAATCAACCCTTAGTTCTGGCTTAATCAAGGATATCAGCCCTTAGGGGTGCATCAAGGCCATGTTTTTCTTTGGACCAATCAGCCTTTCCCTCAATGGGTGTGTCTCTAAGTTGCGCACCCCGAAGAAGTGCCGATTTTTTGTTTTGGCTTCCCTCAACCGCGAACAATCATACGAGCTCAGCGGGTATGTGTCCCGTTCTAACCTATGGATCTACGGTGAACTAGGCGTTTTCTTCCCAGCACACCTTAGTGAACAAAACATGCAAGCTTCATGATGTGTAAAACACAAACCTGTGCTTGGGAACCTCATGCACGCATACTTTCAACACTGAGTTTGCTTCAGTCCGTTGCAAAGGGGTCCTCAACCCAAGAAAACTTTGCTGCCTTCAGGTTTTCCTTTATGAACCAAACTGAAAGGGATAGTTCGCCTCATGAAGACGAACCACACCCAAATGAAGGGTGAGAATAAGACACCCAGCACCGGTACTTGGGGGACTCCTCAATGGTCTCAATGAGACCCCCTGCCGAAGGAAACAGTGGAAGGCCCTTCCACTCAGGAAGTGAGACGAAGAACAGGATCCAAGAACTTTGAGCATACCTTTCAGCATACCCCAATCCTTTGCTGAGGATTCCTTGCATATGGGGTCCGGGATGTGCTCAAAAGGTATGCTGGAAATCTCGGCTGCGCCTCCACTTTCTATTGCAAATCAAGCAGGTCACTAAATGCCTTTCAGTTTTGACACAGTGGGTATATGTTGGAACTCGGATCTGAGTTCAATTGTGGGTTCCCGAGCCTCTGGGTGAAAGTAGATAGCACAATTCCCGGACTTTGTCGGATTTGAGTCACCCCTTTTACTTCAAAGAGAATCCTGGAACCATGATGGTGTGTCACCCTCTTATAATTGAGGGTGTCCCTTTTTGGGTGGTTGTAAAGGAAAACCAACAGTAAACAATCACACATTTTGGAGGTTCCCCCCGTGTCTGAGACGAACCCAGCGCACCCGAAACCCGAAACCGAAACGGCCCCCGGCCGTTTCGCAGGTCACCGCTGCGGGAGACCCCGCGGTCAACGAGGGGCCGACGCCTCGGGTTGGATCGGGGGACTGAGCCTAACACCAAGATGCAAATCAATCAATGGGATGCCAATGGGATGCCATTTTGGGGTTTTCGGTGCACCACCCATTTTAGAACCTATTTTAGTGGTTGGATTGGGATGTTCACTGGGGTACGGGATTTTGACCCATGGCCAACTTGTTCATGTTTCCCCTCGGTTTTGGGCGAGTCCTTCGGTTTCCCTCGGTTTAGGTTCAAGTTTCAGGTTTCCCTCGGTTTCCTTTCAACTTCTTCAGGTTTGTGGCGGTCAAGTCACGGTTTTTGCTTCCTCTTCTTTTTTCTTGGGGAGTCGGTCCCCGTCCAACAACGGCCACGTGCATAGGCCAGGCACAAGCCAAAGGAAACGACGAAAGTGGACTCCTGAGGCTCCGAGTTTCTGCCAGTGATGTTTCCTGGCTGTCGGTGGAGACAAGAGCTTTGCCTTTGGTTTGGTAACCAAATAGGGGCAGATCAAGTTTTGACGTCGGATTGTAACGAGAGCCACAATGAATCCGAGGAATCTTCATGACGCAAGGAGGACACTCCTTCATCCAAAGCGAACCAAGCCTCTGACATTTGTTTGTCGCGCTGTGGGTTCCCATTTTCATTTGGTGGTTCCCAGCCATCCGGTGCCTTACGTTTTTTTGTGTTTTGCGTTTAGTGGCAGCTTCCACTATAGACCACAAATATTAAAACTTTTAGCAGCGGAATTGAGGACATCCCAGCTGAGTCTTGGCTTCAAAAGGTGACCACCTTGTATTTCTGGGTCCCTATAGGACAACTGAGACGCAAGGAAAGCGGCAGATTCAGTGCGCATCGAACTTCCGGGATGCTCAGTCCTGGCAAGCTGTGGTATCTCCATAGGCGGACAATAATTTTCGAGTAAACATCAGAGAAGTTTGGTACATACGAGACAAGCACCAGTGTGTGGGTTGCTAGAAGCATTGCCGGGAGAAGCCCTCCTGCTTGTTTTTACGCTGCTGCTTTGGGTGTCGGTATCAATCATCTGATTCTCCAGCAAAGCGTTGCATGTTTGCTGGGTGTCCAACTCTGGTCGACCCAGGGCGCAAACAATTGTTTGTTAGTTCTATTTAGTGCAAACACCTGCTAAATCCCATCAGACTGATTTTTGGCGCTAGCCATCACCAGACGTCCCTTGAGATCACAGAGTTCGCATGCTTTTTTGCAGTCCACTTAGGCGGTGCGGGTTAGTTTTGTGGCTTGCATAAATGTGGTTCCATGTAGGCAATATCTGCCAGCATTTGACCTGGGTAAACATTCCCTGCATGGAGTGTGTGGGATTGTACAGACTGGGCCTGACTCCAGTTGTCAGTTGTGCTTTGCAAAGTCTCATGCCGCTTAAGCGTGGACAAGCTATATCGCCCAGAAGGTACAAAACTCAAAACACGTGATGTTGCTTGTTGCAACAAACAACTTGACCGGAGGACTGTTGACGGAGCAGCCTTCCTTCGGAGCCCTTCATGGATCCAGGGTCCAATGGTACTTCATCCTTCCAGCCTGTTGGTAAAATTAGCAATGTACTCTAAGTATTAAAAAAATACGAGCAGCATGTAAATTACCGGTATTCATATTGAGCAAACTACACAATAGCATCATGATAGTAATAGTAATGATACTAAAAATACGACTACTACTACTACTACTACTACTACTACTACTACTACTACTACTACCACTATAACTACTGCTACCACTACTAATGCTACTACTGCTACAACTACTACTACTGCTACTACTACTACTAATAATAATAATAAATAACAATCATAATAATCGTAATAATAATAATAATAACAATGCAAAGAGGCCTCCGTGTTCGGCAGCTCTTCTCCCGTCTCGCCCAGGGAGTTCCGGCCAGTCTACTTTGCGGCGGCTGGCAGCGTGTCGTTGATCACCTTCGACGTGCGCCACTTGCCGGACGAGGCGACAGACAAACTCGCAGTTGGGTTGGGATGGGAGGGAGTGGCTTGCGTGTTAGTTTTTTTGGAGGTGGTTTACTTGTGGACTACACTCCTGATGAACATGGAACCACTGCAATTGTCCGTTTTGGAGGACTCTCCTTGTGGGAAATGGACCCTTCTTGGATTTCATTTCTTGTTTGCAGGAGAGAACTTCGTGGGAAACATGTTTGGACTCTTTCAAGCTTGTCCCGAGGGTCGCAACAAGATCTTCCTAGAATTAAAGCTTGGCAGCGCAGCTAGGAAAGGGACTGATGTCAAGAGCATCCGCTGCGGATGTAAACATCCATCACTCAGACCCTTGCTATAGCAGGGGTACTTCTGCAGCCTCTTTGCCCACCTCAAGAGCTTAACTAGTTGCTTGTTTGATTTGGCTGCTGCGATAAATGCAAGCATAGGGATGATTCATGTCTCGCTTCTCAAGTTCCTGGACTTATTTTTTGTTTGGAAGACCATTGTAGTGGTAAATACACAGTTTGGACTTGGTTTGGCCAAACCACCCGATCGCACGTGAGAGGTTCAGCCGAATTCATGTTGACCTTGTGCCGGCGCCTGCTGGAGAGGGTCCCGGAACCTCCACTCGTTCCGTTGGGCTCAGCAAACAAAAACAACAACCACGGACGGTTGGTCGATGTACATCCTGAAGCAGTTCTCGGACTCTTAGGGCCTAAGAGGCTCTTTCATAGCTCAGAAGGATTTGCTTTTTTGAAGGCAGCCTTTGCAGTATGGTTGGCTTCCCTCCAGATCAGAGAGGGGGAAGGGCCTTTGGCCCTTGCGCCTGGGTTGGTTGATGGTCTCCAATGAAAGTCCCCAAACCACCAACCAAACCACCCATTGAGGGGTGCCTGAGCAAAAGAAGACGGGCCGAAACAACTAGCATAGGGTTTTGGGGTGATCCCAAACGGAACATTTAGTAACGATAGGAGTCAACTAGGAATCACTCAGGCCCCTGTTACTGAGAAACTGGGGATAGCCCCCACCCAATCCGAATAAGAGGGGGACTCCCGGCTTTACCCTTGCTTGGATTTGTTCGGTATTTCAAGCATGATGGGGCGATGTTACCGGACCTCAAAATATGTCGGTTTCAGTGGTGGTTGGATTTGTCTCCCAACCAGGGAAGCCAAAAGGCTTTTCTTCCAACATGTAGCCTCAAAGAGACAGCCCCTTTTGGCCGGTTCATCTGCCCTGTACGGGGAAGTGTCGGAACCTTTGGACTATGCCTCCAAATCAGGCTTCTCCCCCGAGCATCTCGCCAGAGTTGACCTTCAGAAAAGGCTCTTCCTCTAGTTTGGCTGTCTTTTGAGCATACTCTCTGCGGATTATGTTAAAGGGAAACCAAAAGGAAGGGGGAGCAGCAAAGAAGCGATCGATTTCAACCTCGGGAAAGGCGATCGATTTTGTCCGGCCGCACCCGATGCGTGCTCGCCAGACCCGGTACGGCAAGCACTTCCGCATCAAGTTCTTGGTGGCAAAAGAGTCAGGCCCTGAGTCGCCAACTCTGGTTGCCAAATGCGTTCGTATAAATAGGGTTCTAAGCCCGGTAAACCAACCACTGAGGAGGTTCATAAGCAACCATTTGTAGCTTATAGCGTGAGCATGCTGGCTGCTAAGAAGGCCCAGAACCTGTTTTGTTGCCAAATGGACACTGTTCACTTTTCTAGACCCCCCAATTTGGCCCTTAGTCCAATAGAATGGTCTGGGCAGAAGGGGCCAAGATGCAATTTGTTTGGGCCTGAACCGCCGGGCGGTCACCGAACTTGGATTTTGGTAAAGGTGGATGACCGGAGCAAGGACACCTGGAGACTATTTGCTGGAAGCACCACCCTGGTTGCTTTGCCAGAGAAGAAGTCTCGCGAGGGGGAACCCTTCGCATCAGACGTCGGTGGCCGGCACGTCTGTACATGGCAGGTGTGTCAAGCGAGGCCACGCATGGGATAGGAACAACGCCAAGCATCAGTCTCAGCACGCGCCATGTGACTCTGCCAAGCAGTTGCTTGCTTAGGGCGGACTCCAAAAGTTGTATGCACCCAATTCGAGACCGTTTCTGTCATTACCGACAATATGGAGGTCTCTTTTTCGGGCTCCTCCCCAAAAATTGTGTGGTTCTTTTAGTGGTTCCCTCGTAAAAAAAAAAAAAGGAGAAAAAAAAGAAAAAAACAACCCAAAAAGGCGTGCCCTCACAATCAGACGAGCCGCCCTGCGGCAGGCCCTGTCGGGGTCTTAATTTACCAGCTCCCCATTTGGGGGGATTCCGCACTCGGTTCCCTGAAAACCATTGAGTTCTGTCTGTTTTTGGAGTTGGTACCAGTGTTTTTATGGGGAGCAAACAATGTATACAGTTTGGAGCCTTCAGCGTTTCAGGGACACACGACACATGGGGCTCTTCAGATGCATCCAAACCATTTGCATGTGCTTCATCACCATCCGGGCAGGATACGTTGCTCCAAGGCGGCTGAAATCAATAGCAATGCACAATAAGTACAAGTAGATCGGCAAGGACAAGCAGATCACGCTTACGCACAACAGTTGCGCCAGGATTTAGACGTGCAGCGTGCTTTTTGGCGACGGACAAACAGCTGAATCCGTTGCAAAGTTTGAGCGGGAAGCAGGGGATAGATCTGGAGTAAGGGACGTGATGCAACAGGCCATGTTCCCTACTTTGGATGGACGAAATCCGTTTGCACCACTTGGAAACCAAAAGAAACCACTTGTTGCTACTTTTTACTGGGAATTCATAATTCCAAGGCTTCTTTGGTGGTGCAGGATTTCGTCCACAGTATCACTGCGTCAATCAAACGCTTCACGTCGGTGCAGGACTTTCGTTCGAAATTGGCGACCACTTTTGGAGCTTCACAAGCGCTGCAAAGCTTCAAACAGAAAAGGTCGTTGGCATTGGTTTCAGTTTTTCTACAACACCGGGATGCTATCCCTGGCTTCTTTGGGCCTGGTTCGAACAGGAGCAGAGGCTGATCAAGAAGGCGAATGGATTCTCCCTGCTGTCAGGTGGCACCCTTATTCCCTTGTTCAAAACATACTGTGATGTGTATCCGCGTGTTTGCGCTGTCAACACTTGGGACATTGGAAGAAGGAGGAGGAGGAGGAGGGGGTTTGTGTTCCATGACAGTTGTACAGTTGTATCATGTGGGGTCCCAGTCCCCTGACAAAAAAAAAGGTTTGCCCGGGAAACTGTAGTAGACCTTCTTGTTGATTCCCTCTTTCTTGTTCCAGTTCCGCGGTTCTTTCTGGAACCGACAAATAGAAACCCCCGTCGTCCCCGAATCCATCCGGCCCTCACGCGAATTTCTCAGGCTGGACCCGCTGTACACCGACCCCATCGAGTGTGACTCCCTGGTCGCCAAGAGGAGCGAAGCGAAACCGCGGAAGCGGAATTCGAAGGGCAAAGCATGTGCCTGAGCCCTCAAGCCATCCATAAAAAAGCGGTTTTTTGCCCCAACATGATGGGGTGATGTTTCCCGTTTCTACGTTTTCTATGGGTAGTTTGAGGGCTCCAGGTCGCCCTTCTCGGGGTAACACCCTAGGTTGCTTGACTGAGCGCAGCTCCAAGCCTAACGCGCTGCACGCGCCTCATAGGACGCCACAGCTCCGGGACCTCGACATCTTGCTGGCGGAGAGCCGGGGCTGCGCTCGGGATCTCGGGATCTCGCGATCTCGGGGCACCGAACGTGCCAGGGTTGTGGGATCCCATAGCTGTTCTGCGCATTGCTTGAGGCTTGGGCCTTTTTACAAGTACGTATAGGTTCCAGGGAGCCGTCAAGAATCTAGGTGGGGCCAGCATCTTTGGAGCGGGGTTGTTAGATTACAAGTGTGTTTTCCCCCCGCGGCGATCCAAGGGAATCTCCCCAATTCTTTATATGCGGGGTTGGTCTTTGGGGTTAGGCCTGTCTTATTGTATCACAGAAGTGGATTCCATTTCCCAAAGCCCTTTTTGATATGGAAATGTAAACGGGGTTCCCCAAACAAGACATACCTGGAGTCTCCACTTAAGTTGAACCAAACGAGAGGGGTCACCCCATGCCCATGTTTTAAGGGTCAGAAGGAGACTCCAGGCAAGACGTACCCATACTGTGGGTGGACAAAATCCTGCACCGCTTGGGCTGGATGAAGCCTTGCGAATGATGGGATAAACCACTTACCAACTGGTCCGCCCACAGTATGAACTAGAGAACTATGGCCTAGGATGCCATCAGGTGTCCGTTTTAGATGAGTTTGCCCTAGGAGCCCCTTGGACCCCAAATATGAGGGCCTTGATGAAATCGGTCTTGGGCTCTGATGATTGGATAGAAATACATGGGTTCCACTGTAGTTTTTGTTCCATTTAACCAGGGCCATCTATTTGTCCGAAAGGTCACCTATGTTTGGGAGGTTCCCGACCGGGAAAACCAAAGTTTAACCCGGGATTTGAGTGGATCTGAGCTGTTAGTTCTCCCGTTTTGGGTGACATGTTCATTGCCCAAAAGGTGATCACCTTTCTTTCTGGGTCCCTCAAGGGTCAACTGAGGTTTGGAAGGATCAGACCCAAAAATGGGAGGTACATGCGAAAAGTCTGAGAGGTTCCTCCAGGCGACAGAGCTCCCTGTGTATTTTTTTCTTTGCTATGGCTTGACCCTAATACGATCCGATTCTGTTTTGCCGGGGTGATGTTTGGGAAAATCTTGGGGACCCTTTCAGGGGAACTTGCTGAACAAGCCCAAAAACAGCAGTTTACGACACCGGCTTGAGTTTGCCTGGGGGTGGCTGAGAACCAATCAGGTCTATCACTGGAACCCACAAATGAGTTTGACCACTTCCAGCTGCGGCAGTGAAAACAAGCGACCTGAGGCAGAGATTTCCTTGCCGCCGGCATTTGTCCAGGAGGCACGCAGTTGTGGTGTGGAGTTTGTATGTTGCCGCTGGAAGCCATCCGCAAATCCGCAAGGTTAAGGTCCTCCCTCTATTATAGTGGCTTAACATGTGCAGAGGCCCAGTCAACCTTTAAGTGGCTTCTGGCCAATGGATTGCGGACAATGTCGCAAACACGGGTGTTTTTGTCCAGCAGAGCTTGGCAAAATTAGTGGACCATGTCTGGTTAAGAAGTGGCAGGTCCCTCGAAACTGGGACGAGAAAGCATACCGATAGTGGCTCTGTGTGCGTGTTTCGTGCGAAAGTGTCAGAGCTATTGACCCACGTGGGGGGAATGGGGCGGGGGGTTAAGAGAAACCAACATGAGTCCATCAGGAGATCTATTGTGGGGGTTCACCTGAGTGATGCAGCTCATTGCTTTTTGCATGTCGTCGTATCTTCGTGCTTCTGCTCATTGAGGGCTGTCCAAAACAAAAGACAACCACAAATTTGATGCCAGCACCCCCGCAACCACTGCTTCTTTGAACAGTACTTTGGAGTTTGGACATGGGACAAAGCAGTTATTGGGACCCGGGTGCTATTGCGAACCTTCCAAGCGTGAGGACGTCAACCATGAGGCTCGTATCCTCCACTTGAGTGTTCGGCCAAGTTAGTAAGTAGTTTATAACCTAGTTCAGAACCTACTTCAAAGTCCCCCCATTCAGTAGGGGTGGAACAAATTTAAATGGCGAACCACACAATCTAGCTTGGAAACGAACCTCCGATGGATCGTCTACCGATGTTTGCCACGAAAGTCTGAGGAACTGAGCCCCAAGTTGAGACTCATCGCTCTGTTGTGGGTGGCTCGCCTGAGGACAAGACAACCCCGTTTGGTTGGTTTTAAGGGGAAGCCAAAAGGAAAACCATCATTGGGGGGTCCCCTGAAAGAAACATGTTTTTTTGGCCAGGAGGTTCCTGCCCATGGGGCAGCGAAAGCTTGTCAAGTTGACCGTTTTTGTGTTTTCCCTTGTTAATTTTCCGCTGTTGGTTTTAAAGGGAAGCAATGTCACTACTGGACTTTGTTGTTTCCAGTTAGCGATAAAGCAAATGGAAGTTGCACCCCTGGGTTTTAGTACTTACCCATAGCAATGGCCTCCGTCACAGGGCTTGCAGCATGCCGAGAGCCAGACGCCCAGTTGGGCTGAGGTCTTGACTCTGACTCACAATGTGGCGATTCCTAGGGGCCTTTTTTTGTCTTGGAGTCTACCTGGCATACCTGGGCCCTCAAACTACCCTTAAAAAAGAAAGGACTACCCTCCAAACAAAAGGACATTGCCACTGATTTGTGGGGCAACAACCCATTCTTTATGGGTGGTTTGCGGGTCTAGATACCCTTGTTGGGTTGTTTTCAAGGAAGACTAAAGGAAACACCATCATATTTCAGACACACGCATCTGTGTGTGAGTCTACCTACCTCTTGGCTTGAAGAGTAGGCTGCAAACAAGTTGCGCAGACAGATGGATGCGTTTGATGACAGCTGATGGTTGTTAAACTTTGGAGGATTTCAAGGGGATTCGCTATGAATGGCCTAACACTTACCAAAAGACGTTGTCCTTGAACCGCAAGGGGACAGATACGTGGCGCATATGTCCAGACCCTCTACTTTTCTCACCCTCGGGAATTCCATGGTTTCCCGTACTCCCGGAAACTCATAGTGCAAGGACCCTGGACCGGTCCTTTTGTCTGAAAGGAGCCGATCCCGGAGATCAACCTCACCGAAACAGATGTGGACCGGCTGATCTTTGTGAGAAAGTGTTGCTCATGTTTGCCACTTTCGGCGCCCCTGTTTCTTCCCGGGCACAAAAGCCAACATCGAAACCCTTTTTTTTGGGGGGACACATTCGTGGGATATGGCTATGAATTGCTCATAAGGAACCTCGCACGTGGTTGGTGACTTGAATCTGCCCCGGTCCTTCCGATGTCCACTAGCTCCGGTCCCAAGCAAACAGAAAATCCGGTTTTTTTCGAAGCACCTCGCCTTGGCGTGAGACAACGCAAAATCCAGATTGGCCTTCGCTTACCTGGACCCGAAGAAGCTGCTCATAAGGATGTATTGCGCCAAAAACATGGTGCAAAAACTTTTCGAGCTGGGGTAGCTTGAGGGTCCAGGTATCCGACAACATGTAATTATTAATGATCTGTTTTCTTTGGCACTGACCCAAAAAAAAGAGAGAAGGGCAGTTGTCTTCTGGGTTTCCCTTTCAACATGGGACGACAGTAAAATGGGTTGCCCCAACATAATTTGGTAGGTTTGAGGGTCTACCCCGTTTCTTTTGAATTCAGCATTGGCGCGTCGTGACTCGGAGCCAACTGAAATAGAAAAGAGGGTCTAGGTGCGGCCAGATCCACCCTCAAATGGCTTCGCTTAGGTGGAGGACAACTCGCCAGCGGGGTCTTCACCTTTATGCTCGAGCCACGGCATGCGATCGAGTCGACTCGAATGGAAGTTGTGGGCACCAAAGGACTAGGTCCCCTTTCTCACCTTTTTTTTGGGGAGGGTTCCCCTACTAAAATAGACTACAGACAAAAGGGTACCCTTATTCCAACCTCTCTACTGGAGGACCTAAAGGAACTTGCTGGTGCACTAGCCATCCTGATGTCACTGAATCAACTTGGGAATCAAACGGAAGGGGATTCCTGAATAAAGGAAACCATAGGGGATTGTTTCTCTGGGGGTCATTCCAATTCTTATTCCCTGCTGAGAACCAGCAAGGGAAGCCGTAGCCAATTTTAGGCGGTGTTGAGAAACATCCTTGAGCTTGAGTCGGGCTGGCAGTTTGTCATGCCCTTGATAAAGGCCCCCCCCCGTCCCTGGATGGTGGCCAGCGCCGGACAATACCAACGATCACTTTGTGCCTGTGGTTCTGTCAAGAGTGAAGGTTGATCGTCACCTTGCTTTTTCGCCGGGCATGTGTGGTTTGATGGTACCCTTTGCACTCTAGCAAGACCTGGCTGTGGCTCAATAAAATGTACCCAAATGGCACCTTGGTAAATGGACCAAAGACTAACACCGTACTAACACCTGCGTAACCCTAGCTCTTTAATTTTGAGCCACACACACACACCCACCCCACCCCACCCCACCCCACCCCACCCCACCCCACCCCACCCCACCCCACCCCACCCCACCCCACCCCACCCCACCCCACCCCACCCCACCCCACCCCACCCCACCCCACCCCACCCCACCCCACCCCACCCAGCCCCCCTAACCCACCGTGATTCGTTTGCCACATCACACGTCGCTCTCTCTGCCTTTGGCGCCCATAGGCTGCATCCCATCGTGGACATCCAGTGGCGAGTCGGGGCCCCAGGGATGGATCGAGTCACCCGAGCGGGTGTGGTCGTTTTTTGGTCGTTTGGGCCAAGCATGGTGTGCCTGGTTCATGGCTGTTGTTGGGAAGCATTTGAATCATTTTGGCTTGTTGTGGTTTAGTGGCTGAAATCCCCACTGAACTGTTTTTTTGTTTTTCAACTTTTGCTCCCCTTCCAACGTCAACCAAGGGTTCTTATATTCACACTGTCGAATCTGTCTAAGTACCAACTCCCCCTCATTTCTGTTTGGCAGTGCAAGCTTTCAGACCTTCAGACCACGGTCTCAGCTTGGTAGAAGAAACGGCCTCAGATCAAGGGCCCCACCGAAGGCAGAAGAAGTTCTGCATCATCCCGTTCCTGATTATCGGAGCTGGTTGACTGGGCGGGGAAAGCAGTCCTTGGGTTAACCTGCACACGTGATGTTCATGTTGTACCCCCCTTGCCTTCAACCTCAATCCTTCAGCTGCGGTAAGTTGTTCGAAACAAACGCATGCTGGGTACACACGTAGTCGCTAGTCCCGTGTCATACTGGCATGTAGACACTTGAAGCCCTTGAGTGTGTGTATGTCTAACAATCCACAGGCTGGGGAGAGCAGTACTCAAGGTTGTTGGCAATGCACAGGAAGTCAGGAACCCTTACCCTCTCTCCCACTAACATAGCACCTGTTGGAGGGTACCTGGAAGATCAATTTGCTCCTGAAGGGACCCTCTGTAAGGTGCCATGTTAGTTGGAGGGAGGGTACTTGGTGGTGTGGTTTCGTGGTTTTGACGTTAGGATAACGTCCCCATCTGGTTTCAAAAGGTGGGGTTCAAATCCCCAAACCACCAATCCAAACCCCCAACTAAGGCTAGTCTGAGGAAGGCCTTGTAAGGAAGCAAATCTCATAAGCAGGCTCAAAACGAGCCTTACAAGGAGGCTTGTAAGGAAGCTCGTACAGATTATGCGGAGCCTTCTCAGGAGCTCGTAAGCGCCTTGTAAGGAGCCTTTTTAGGAGGGCATTTTCTGGGAAACCAACCCACTTTTTGGGTTCAGCTTCGGGTCATTCCAACTCCGACCAGGTGGAGGTGCAGATCGTGGATGGCGTCTTCCAGCCGGATGCCGGACACCTGGGCCTTTTTGGGTACTCGTCAGAGCAGTGCTTTGGAACGGAACCCAAGATGTCTTGGGTTTGAACTCCCCTTATGGTTTGCCTTTAAACCTACCCCAAAAAGGTGTCACGATCGAAAAAGCACAGCCCCAAAAGAATTGCGAACTTTGTGCTCAATTGATCGTGCCGTAATTTGGCTTGGAGGTAATGATTCCTCACAACCACACCACATGCAATATCGTTTGATGCCCTTGCAGTAGTCGCCCACAGCCGAGACCTGATCCAACTTCTTTCCGGCTTGGAGAATTGATTTCCTGGTTCATTGCAAAGTCATGGTGTTGTTTGGGGGAAGTCGTTCATGTCTGAGTCCTGGCAATTGAGGCACTAAGACATGCGGCATATGGCTTTGGCCGAGGTTCAGTCGGCTCGCGTTTCGTCATCACTCACGCTGAACAAGTGCCTCCAAGTATATAAACTTGGGATTCACCAGGTTATGTCACGCATAAAGCGCAGATTCCTATGCATTACGAGGGTTTTACATATTATGTGATGGGTTGGTTGCAGGTACATGTGCACGTGCAGCGCAACAAAGTACCAAGTAGCTCTCAACAGCCTTAGGTCCCAGGAGACGTGGTTTTTAGGGCTTTGGCCTCAAGGATAGTCAAATCAAATTCCCATTAGTTCTCAAACCCACAAGCAGTGATTGGGACCGAATCGGGTGCTGGACACGAAGGATATTGCTGGTCGCAGGAGGGGTATCTTTTCCGGCCCGAGTGTCCCCTTTCCTTTGCACGCGGCCGGCGCTTGGGCCCTTTTTCGATGTCCGCTTTTCTTTGTCACCTCCGGTCCATGGCCCGCGGACTATTCTGGCCGTCATGGTACATGGCGAGCTGCTTGAGGAATTCTCGTAAATTCTTGCAGACCATAGATGTCATTTTTACCTTTGTAGGTCAGTGTGCTCAAAAATAGATGGCCCTGGTTCAGCTTGGTTTTATTGCATATACCAAAGAATCTAGTTGTTCCAAAAGAACACCTATGTGGTCCCCCCCTAAATATATACAAATATACCCCCCACCCCGAAAATACCCCCCTACCCAAACGGGACACAAATGCGCCCGATTACCCCAATCTTGTCCATGTTAAATCATCCATATACATACATATATATACATATATATACATAAACATACCGCTTGCGCCTCTCTGAGAGGCCTTCATGCTGCTCAGCTCCGCCCTGGTGGAGTACGCGGAGCCAGCCGGGAACTTGGGGAACTCGGGGAAGTGGCACCTGACGAAAAAGCCGCTTGGGCTCTCCAAATGGCCACCCACGAACCTCGGGAAAAAGGAAACCAAAAGGAAACCTGCCAGTTTAGGGGGTCTCCAAAAGTCTGGGATGTTTTCATCTGGCAAAACTCGACTCAGACAATGCTTGGTGTGAAGATCCTTTGCGGTCTCCTCCAAACCGATCTTAGATGCTAAGCCTACACATGAAACAGCGTCAACACATATGGTGTATGCCCTAAAAAAAAACAGTAAACCCCAGCATACTCAACCACACAACCTTAGCGATGTACGGTAAATTTTAGAGTTACCGTGTTCCCTTACATGCAGCATGTAGGGCATCCACCCTATTATCTGTGTACCGCAGAATGGGCGATCGGTGCCAGTTCAGAAGGGGTAAACGATTGAACATAGGGACCACAGTCATGGATGTGGGTGTGTTTGTCTGTGTTTACTGTCCAGATGTCAGTGTGCTTTCCTTATTAACGGCCAACCCTTTCGGGCTTAACATCAAAGGTATGTGTTTTATTTTGTTGTTTTTTTTGTTTTTGCGAAGCACGCAAGCCATGCCTCTCTGCGATGCATGGCGCTCAGACGCTCGTCGTCTTTTGTGTGAGACATGAGCAGCATAGTGGTCTGTGGTTCCTACGGCACGGGGAAGGGACAGTGGTTTCTCTATTTCCCCGAAACACAAAGTTGGGCAAACAGTACCTCACAAGAACCATATTGATTTTTGTTCTTGACTCACCTCGGGAAGACATGTCAGAATTGCATTCCGAGGCCGTACTCAAGTGCTGGTTTTCCTGTGTTTAAGAATAT